AAAAAATCTAAACTACGTAAGATAGACGCTTGAAATTTGGCATGCAGGTACCTTAGTAAACTCAAAGCTTAGTTACAAGAGGATATTGCAAAATTCCCACGGGAACGGGAGTTAGCGGGAAAAAACGTTCCCTTGGGAATTTTGGTAATTCCTTTCTTAGTGCACCTCTACGGTATTTAAGCTACGTCCCTTCCAAATTTCAAGTGCCTACGTTTAGCCGTTTAGGCTGTGTGTTGATCTGTCACTAAGTCAGTCAGTTTCTCCTTTTATTGTATAATATTTATTTATTTATTTATTTAAAATCTTTATTGCACACATAAAAATACAGTGGTACAACAGGCGAGCTTAATGCCATGTGGCATTCTCTTCCAGCTAATAAACCAGAAAATTAAACAAAACAGATTATTATTTAGATTCTTTTTTAACTACAATGTCGTTTATATAAATTACATTGATGTTTTTTAGTTCTTTTTTGTTTCTTTGAGTAATATTTGATTTTAATATTGATTTGATTTTAAAGGTGGAAGAAAAAACGTAAGAAACTATTAATAGCAGGGTTAATAGCCAATGGATGGCTAATAATGGCTATTAATAGATAATAATCAGTTATTATCCAAACTAGCTGGCTACAAACCCATCTCTAATCTTTGGTCGCTGAATATCAATTCTGAACGCACGTTTAAGTACCCAAATGCATATAATCGAAGCATTACGCATTCCGCTTACGGACTCTGGATTTATTGTAAAGTTACGTGCGTAGGCCGCGGACGACGCGCGGCCGGTCGCCAAACCAGCGCGTGGCAAGATGGCCGATCAACGTGGTTTTTTCACGCGTATTTACACTTGCTAGGTGATTTTGGCCAACTTTGTCGTGACGTAGCGACCTAGTTAGCCACGCCAAGCGGTGCCAGGGCCAAGTCCAGCCGGCATCCCCAATGAACCAGAGCCAATATCTATAAAATAAATTGGACCGGCATAAGACAGAAAAAAATAATAATGAAGGAAACGTCAGCTGAATAGGATTTGCCGCCAAAATTTTCAGGGTGAACGCACTCCAGTGTTTTGGCATGGTTCAGTTGGAAGTTGTCCTAATAGTTTGTTTGATTCGATAAGGTATGCTAGTTTTATTGTCTATGGTGTAGGTAGAGTTTGTAAACAAAGCTGCTCTAATTCATGCGTAGAGGGGTTTCCCAAGAAGTTTGTCTGGTGGAAAAAATCTGATCGGTTAGTGGATCATTGCAAAACTTTCACCTACAGAGCGAAGGAGTTTTATCAGCTATGTCCTTACTTGGCCGGTGAGAGAGACGAGTCAGTGCTTGAAGTGGCACTATAAACAATTAGGTACTTTCTAACTCTGGTGACGGTCACTGATTCAGTACAGTGTCAATAATACCTAGTAGCGACAATATAAAGTAATATTTGAAAATTTTAATCTCAACAAGATATAGTCCAGGCACTCCAGGAACATCCTCTTATCGTACACATTAGATCATCATCGTCATAAAATTCTATTTTTGTTCTCAAAAACCAAAAGCCATCAACCGTTATTACCTCGGTAGACCGTTTATCGCGACTGCTATCTCCCACACCCGGCCGCTCTGCCAACAGTCTTACTACTCAGCATTTGTTGTTCTTATATTTGCCAAATATTCGCACCTTATCGCCAGTGTTGTGATAGTTTTATAGCCGCCATTTTTATATTTCTCTTTCGCGCGCTTTTTGGCCGCTTCCAATATGGCGCAGTTTGACTCATATTTGGTTAGGTTATGCACTTATGCAAAATTGCTTTGTTCGTGCTTTTAATGACTTTATTGTGGTTCCATGGATCGTTTACCTTGTTTGCATGTAACAACCTGTTTATTTATTGACTGCTGTCGAAAATGTCTTGTGTTAGGTCTTTTGATAACTTTTATTCAATCGAAGCACGTACGAGTCGAAGTTCTTTTTATTAAATTTTGATGAAGAATTCATTAATATCAATGTTAAAGCTTTAAAATGAGCACCTATAAACGAATCGAAATATGTACTACATCTATCTTTGATAATGTAGATATTATGATTGAATTTTGTTATTGTTAAAGTTACGAAGAAAAATTCTTACCCTGCTGAACGATTGCATGACGAATCGATGCATCTATTTAGCTGTTCAATTTTTTTTTCACTTTCTGCCACAGATACGTAGTTAGTTTCATTGTGATGAATAGAAACTATACAGTTTTAGATACAACTGTATTTTAGGATTGTTCTTGATTCAATTTCTTAATTACTTCGTTTGATGTTTGCAAGACTAAGTAGAGTTGTAGGCTTGATGGTCATTACGTTAAAATTGCGCAAAATATCGCAAAATCTTATTAAAGTTATTCGCAATCGTAAACGTACTAGCTTCTTTGTAACTATGGCAACAATCTCCCACTTTTGGCTTCGGCCTTAAGAGTTCGGGATCAACACCAGCTGAGTTACGCTCCAACGTGGCAGGTCGGTTGCCAGGAGAATCCGTGACGTCACGGAGGGTCCTGCCAGACCCCGCTGCCAAGTCCGTTGTGGCTAGACCTTTGTTTACGTCTGGTTCACTGGGAACACATGCGGTTACGTCTGTGAGATGTTGATGATTAACTGAACTGATGGGAAATTATCACTGATTTGTTGATGCGTCATATTGATTAAGGAATTCGTGATGTCACATCAAATTTTGTGGCAGATCTAGCAACACAATTGTTGTTTTCTTTCAAATTTTTATCGGAATCTTTTTAGCATGGTCCTTGGAAATTATACGAGATTGTCTACCTTTTTTATCAAATGACAGTACCATTTGCTGTTTACTAATCTTCTACAATTTAAGCTGTCATTTTTATCTTTACATCTGCCTATGGTGGCGGTAAAGTTTATATTATAGCCCAAGGTATAGACAAAAGACAAATATTTTTAGGTATTAGATCCTTCGACGATAGCACGTGGCACCAACTCCTTCGCACTTACCACTTCTGTTGCATCTGGTTTTATTTTTAAATCGGATGAATCAACTGCAGCTCAGATTTCTCCGGAATCCGCAGAAGCGATTCCGGCAACGTCATAGTTTTGGGTCCTGCCAAACTGGCAGCGGCCGTGCTGCCCGCGGCCAACAGATGTTTTGACTACAACTTGATGATTCAAAGGTTTTTTTGTGAATGAAAACGCCAAGATTCATTGATAGTAAATGTGTTAAATTGGCAATAGTATTGCCAGTTTCTGGCGCATCTGCAGGTTCATCTTTGATTACATTTTCTTCAACTTCTATTCTTATTACATGTCTGTCTTTTTTCCTTGGCGTTATTTTTGAAGCAGTTTATCAAATTGAAATGTAATGAGGTATTGGGATTAGATTAAAGGGTTTTGCCTTACTTTGTGTACCGTAACATTCCTCAACAATTGCAACTGTAAATCAAACAATTGCACATTTTGCATCAATTCAAAAACCGCATCCAAAAAGGGACGAAGCTGATCGCGGAATAATGTACAACGTAGTATTTGAATACTTTCACGACAGGTGTAGGATATCAATTGATGCGTTCAAGAAACAGTCTGCCTAAATATTTATTCACTTATTGTAGTCTCTATGCCTTTGGAAATGCGGGTGTGTTCATAAAATTTTGAAGTCAATACGAATCAGCGCAGTGCGTTAGCATACATTATGATTATGAATCAACATACAACAATACAGTATTGACTGACTGGAATAGGTGATCAGCATGGTCAGTGTAAACATATTTTTTGCGTGCAGAAAGGGAAAGATATCGTGCTTGGTTTTATAATGAAGATGCGTTAAAAGATTTACTAAGAACTTGTAGAGATTCATTTGTTGAGAATTTAGCACTTGTTTCTAAATTGAAGTATATTTTCAACCATGGGCTATATTATTTCTAGTTAAATACTACCTAGTTTATTAGAATTTAGTTGTTCAAACTATACATTTATGATTTGTTTTGATATTTAGGTATTAATAAATCTTAAATAGGTATTCTTCTATAGGATAAATCCTAAACACTCTAAAGAGTGGTACAGTTTATAAATTCATAGGAAGTACACACATCGATAGATTAGCTAGAATAGTGAATAAATAATTACTGAAGAAATTTTAATGGCTGATTATTCTAATTTTCTATATAAGAAATAAAGGGATAGCGAATTTTTTTTATAAGATATTTTTTTACTTTAAGGGAATGAATAATTGAATTTCTTCAGTGATACATAATAATGGTAGGTTGGTTTCAAATTCACCTGAACACGGATTTATTTGTTTTTATCTGTTCATTTACCTCCCAAGAAACCACAGTCTGGTTCGTTTTAGCTGTTATTATTTCTTTGTTTTGCGAATGCTTTCTGTGTTATATTTATGGACATTCGCACTTATGTACATCGATGTGGATACTGATCCGTATGTTTGTGATGCCATCTAATAATAATATGTATGTAAACTAATATATCTCACATACATTGTATTAACACTTCTATAATTATCAACTGATTAGAATCCAGTGACATACCCTTAAATATTTTAACTAACTCAATTAATATAAGCTGTTACTACTATTTGTCACTAGGTTCTAGGCAGTCAATTGAGATTCTCTATTAATATATTTGAATGTCAATCTATTTAACTAATTGGCATTAAACTACCAATCTGAATATTTCAATTTATACTAATATGAATAACTTTTTTATCGTATAATATTCGAAGACGCAGTATTAAATATTCTATTAACTTACAGGAGAGATTATAATAACATGTATTCTGTTTATCATCATAACTGTTTGGATTTAAACGTTTTAATATCATAATACAATATTTACTAGCGCAAAAGATAATACAGACAAAATGTTTGAAGGAAGTATTAATTCCCCGTAATAAATAAAACCTTTTCAAAATTTCGTCGCCAACTACCCCGGCCCCACGTTGGGCGCCAACTTACAAGTTTTTAGAAAAAATAATCATATTTGGTTCGTGGTTCTTGGAATGTTCACAGGACGAGTTCCATCCGTTCATAGAGGCCCTGATGCCCTTTGTAAAGTCCTTTTCGTACACTTGGTTCAATTTACAAGCAGCCAAACGGAAGTACTACAAAAAACACGAGAAACGGATGAGTCTTGAGGAGGAGCGGCACACTAAATATGAATTACAGGTAAATGGTTAAATTTTTATTTATCTGCCTTCTAAATAGTATAAAACGTTATTAAAAACACATAGCACCTATTCGTATTTTAAAAGATTATTTAGACTGGCATGAGTTTAAAGCACCTGTGCATCGAAAACAAGGTCTAAGTTTTTGTCTCACATAATATAGGTAGATCGTTTCATCCACGAAGACGCGACCCACCAGTTTTTGGTCGAGGGAAGCGCGGGGTGCGGGGAGTTTGATCCGAGCAATCCGAGCGTCATTATTGTGGTGTGCGTGTGCACTCATAGATGATTTAGCGTGTACCGATAACACTCAAACATTAGTGGAAGAATGGTGGGGCGCGTCTTCGTGGATAAAACGATCTATAAGGACAAAACTATAAGGACAAAACTTCTAATTAATTTTGCTCTTTGCAATCAAAAACTCTTTTCCACAATGATCATATTGACCATGCAATTTTCCAGAACGAGAAAGCAGAAGTAAAACAAAAATGGGCTTCACGGTTACTGGGCAAACTGCGCAAGGACATAACGCAAGACTGCAGAGAGGACTTTGTGCTAAGCATCACCGGAAAAAGGCCAGCCGTCTGTGTTCTATCCAACCCGGACCAAAAGGGGAAGATGAGGAGAATAGACTGCCTAAGGCAGGCTGATAAGGTAACCATTCGATGTTCATGACCCATTAACTATTTCGGTAGTTGATTGACACCAACAAATCATAATATTATGTTCTTCTGTTTAACTTACCCCTGAGACAAACTTGACCTTCATTGGTTGGGTATTTATTGGCTGTCAAGCTGTAGATCCTGGCTACACAGGAGTTGCAGCGGTGGGAACGAGAGGTGGGAGTAGTCCCTGACACTAATAACCAGTAACTCCAAGACACAACTTAAAAAATACAATTAATTACTATGACCGAATTAGGAATTACATAAACATTCTTTACTCTTCTCAAGTTAAAACAATTTCTTTTTTAAGTATAAGTGCTTTCGACGACAGTTAAACGAACTTCCTTCATTTGAAATCACCAGTTTCTCTTTCGTCTTTAGGAAATGCGTAGGTGGAGTTCTAACTTGCAAATAGTTTCTAACGGCTACAAAGAATGTGGTGCGTAGTCGATAATCGAATACTTTGCAATTAATTGTCCCTTTACTTGGGTCACAAGTCGTCACCATCATCACCAGGTCATTTGAACTACTGCAGAAGTGGACTCATCATAATTTACTAAAGACAAATGGAGGATTTGGCCAACACTCCCCACGCAGGCCAGGCGGGTTCTGATGTTTGCACTATGTCGTCAATGATTTCCCATTATTTTACTAATCAGAACATCTCCCGGAACTACTCAGCCTTCACCATTTGGGTATCATTTGAGGCCTAATTGTAATAACCCAGATATACAACAGGAGTTGCAGTAGTGGTGGCAAAGAGGTTAATACCGTTTTTTAACCAAAAAATCTTAAACTTTCCAGGTGTGGCGACTAGATCTAGTAATGGTGATACTATTCAAAGCGATCCCGTTGGAGAGCACAGACGGGGAGAGACTGGAAAAGCACCCAGAATGTACCCAGCCTGGGCTCTGCGTCAACCCGTACCACATCAACGTATCTGTCAGAGAGCTGGACCTGTATTTGGCCAACTTCATCAACAGCTATGGTAATAGGAGCGACGGTCTGCCAGGTCTCTCGCTCTGTCTAATATTTTGTAGCCTTCTATGTACTATTAGACAGGCTGTCTAGATTCTAGACTCTAGAATAAATTGTGACACACATAGGCACCACAAGGTCACGCGTGCGCCAGTCACCTAAAATAATTTCAAATACTACGAGAAAATTTTATTGGCCTCATGAAACGATATGAGTGTTATACACCCGTATTCACAATTTTTTTTTATCCACAACGTGGAAGCTCTTGGCCTGTATCTCACCTGATGGTAAGTGACGATCAGGTGAAGGTGGAAGCGAGCTTCACCCGGAATCCTCAACCACGGAATCGAACCTATCTACCTCTAACTGCCGGAACACAACAATGCTGTTAACATTGTTGTTATGGCGACAGAACAGACTTAGGTAAAATGGTGGTAACTAGCCAGGCGGACGTAGAACAAGCCCTACCACCAACCAAACTGAACAGAAAAATCTGCCCCCACTGGGAATGGAACCCGGGACCTCTGCGTCTGAAGCAGGTGGTCTTACCACTAGACCACAGATACGGTTATGCTTGCTCAAGTGAAGCAGCAAATCGAACGCACAGCGTTGAATAGAGCTCTGTAATTGATTCGTGTGTCACCCTGTGCGTCCACGCGCACTGTGAGATCTCATAGTAATGTTTGTGAATACGGGCGTAAGTTTGTTTGTCAATTACTTAGAAACTTCGTGGGTCTCGCGGTAGTTGCTACTCTTACTTGCTATCGACTAAATATGCTGTGTGGCATAAATAAATACACTTATGAAGAAATATTAGCTCAGGATAGCCTGTCTAGGAGTACATAGAAGTCTATATTATGTATTTGAAATTACAAGCGTGGTGGGCACTAGGGCGACGAATCGAAACGTTTTTCTTCCATACATTTTTATTAAGATTAGATTATTCCAACTTTCGCTCGTCACTGAATAATAAACGAAGCTTCAATGAATGTAAGATGATGTTGAAGTAATGCGGCTCGATTCACCCTGATGGTCGCCATGGTTTATAAAAAAATACCTCTCGTTACTCATCTACTCTGTAAAATTGTAAATTGCTGTTTTTTATGACCAGATTGATTTACATCCTGTAAACTCCTGTAGAAATTACAGACAGTTAATTATTAATTTAAATATGAAATAGATGAGCATCGATTTTCGATGCTGTTTGGTTTCGATCAAAGTTTTTTTTGAGAAAACACATAAGTATTGAGGAAACCAGGCAGCAGAATTATAAATTACTTTATGATTAACAACTAACAAAAATTGCGATTAAAATCTATTTTTCATCAGCTGTCTTGCCATTAGTAAAGAATGGCGACCTCTGGCCACCGTAACCCTCAAATGCGTGCACCAGTAACCAATCCGATGTGTTTCAGATATCCTTAGCGGGTCTCTCTCGCCCCACCCGCCTAGGGACAAAGAGAACGAACACGAGGCTAAGAGCAAAGGTAACCCGGCCCCGACGGTCGATGTGTCCGTTCTTTCTACAGTTTTGTGGCTACCAGTGGGGATTTTTGGATACTAGTGGGGATTTTTGGCTGCTAGTGGGGATTTTTGGCTACCTGCAGTGGGGATTTTTGGATGCTAGTGGGGATTTTTTGGCTAACAGTGGGTTTTGTGGCTAACATTTTTGGCTACATATAGGGATTCGAAATGTTTATGTTATTATCAGTGTAATAAGTGACAATTTTTACTTAAATTTTTGACGATTTGCATACCTACAATGGAGTAATCTACAGGCTTTTTCAGTTATAGATCAATCGCCTGAGATTTTCCTGACTGTTGCGTATTTTATTCTATGTATTATTTAAGTTGGTACCTAGGTACTTACTTTTATCCAGATTGCCAGTTATCACTGGGTGTGATAGCATATTAAATGAAAATAAAGGTTATGACGATAAAATAAACCTGAAATAATGATTGAATGTACTACTCGTATAATTGGCGCCCAACGTGGGACTTGATTTGTTCAGTATTTTTAAATGAGTAAGGCCCTTCCTTCAAGATTTTTCAAAAAGGATGAAAAAGGAGTCTTTTTAAAATTCTCATTGGTGGCCACAGTAAAAAATTGAAGAAAGAACATGTTTGATTGGTTTCGCACAAACTCTTTCTTGGTGTATTTATTTATTTTCAGTATTTGTGCATTTTATTGAATCTGACATTAATCCCAGCATTGGCTTGCACTCACCTCTCATGCTTCGTTGAAATTTTGGAAAAATGTTTGGTCGTTTGTTTTTGAAATTATTTGTTTCTGTAGTCGGTGTTCTTTCTCTTTCACTCTTTTTGTATACGTTTAGATCAATGCTTTTTTTAATCAAACCTTTTATTTCTTACATTTGGAAAACATTAGATGTTTCTCCTTTACTACATTTTAAAAATTATGTTAATTTACCTATTTCCAAAATTGTTCTAGTTTATTATTTGGTTTGTAAGAAAAAGCATTGATTTTAACTTGTGATGTTTTCACTTGTAGCTTGATGTTATATCACTGTAAATATTGTACAGGTCACTTAGTTCCCCTATTTTATTTTTACGATATCTTGGTGTATTTTTTTCTTAGATATGTGTAGATATGTGGGTGTTAGATACTTTACCAGCTCCGTTTGACTGGGGTTGAAGATTTGTTAGGTGTAAGTTAGTGAGTAATGTACTAAAATAAGTATTTCTATTCTAGTTTCATTCACAAGTTGATATTTGTCAAAATTAAAATAGTGTAATCAATTTTCAATAATGAAAAAATGGAGATCCTTGGAATAAGGTTGTGTTGTCAATTTTTTGGCCAATTTGGGTCTCAAGAACTATTTGACGCTGACTGTAGATAAGTACGTAAGTTTCAGTTAAAAATATTACAAACCTCTCTTTGTGAATGAAACTTGTATTTGACATCCATAAAGGCTATCGCTACTAACATATCTGCATAGTAAGCACCATGATTTTGAGAATGAAAGATACAAGAAAAGTGACCAAGAGTGCGACGCGAATCGCGAAAGGCCTTAATATTTCGTTGTGATGTGATGCAGTGCATGATACTGATAGGTAAGCGATAACCTTTATCATAACATTCTTGAACATTGATCAAACTATAAGATATGGTATATTTTATGGATATGGATACTCGTATTTTGATTAGCATAATCAATTGAAGCAGTTGCATCAATGGTTGAAAGATCATTATGATTTTTACTACTTTCACTATGATTATTATGTGATCAGTATGGTCAGTTTGCCTACACCAAAATGGTCAACATGATCAGCAAGGTTATAATAATTTTAATTAAAATCATTTATTCAGTACTTAGGTCCTTTTCAGGGCACTTGCACACGTCCCAAATATAGCTTGCCCTACCACCACTTCGACAATATATGGGCTGGTACTGAGGAAGAAGTGGCGGATGAAACTCAGTCACCTTTGTCAACTTTTTAATTATCAGTGTGAACAGTATGATCAATGTTCAAACCAGGCTATTTTGTGAACCTACCTCCATAGTTTCGGAGACGACATATAGCCCTAACTGACGTCTGAAATATTTTCAGGCTATAGCCACAATCCGTACAACGGAGTAATTTGCAACGATATTATTTTAGCCACTGGTGTCTTCTCTTCGAAGGAACTATGGAAGTTGTCTAAAGGTACGTCCATTTTGATTTATTTAACTCATACTAACGCGATCGCATTTAGTAATAACGTTTTGAATTAACACTCAGCATCTTTGATACGAATAGCTTTTTTAAACTTATTGCGAAAAGTCATGAAGTTCACTATCGTCGTGCGTGTCGTTGGATTCCATAAAAATATTGTCATATACCTACCTACCTTTTATAATAATGTTGATGTTTTTTATTGGAAACCCGATGAGTTAAAATATTTGTCACCTCCCACCCAAGCTACAGTACACACAAGCTCTACATTTATAGTATTTTTACTTTAATATTTTTATTATTTAGAAAACCGGGACAAAAACTATCCCATGTCCTTTCCCGACTCTAAACTATCTCTATACAAAATTTCATGAAATTGAGTTCAGTTTTTAGGCGTGAAGTAACAGACAGAGTTACTTTATCATTTATTATATTATTAACCACGCTTAACCACGTTTTTGGCCCGACAAATCGCAACCATATTTGGCCCAAAACATGACAACCGCGTGAATATTGCCCATTAATTTGCATCGTTCGGTTTGGCGCTGGCACCTAGTTTTCACTTTGGTTATACACACAATGGAAAGGTTTACAGAAGAACGGGTTGCGGAAAATATGGTCGTGTTCAGTTGGATTTAGAAAAAATATTATTAGAGTCAAAAACATTAAAGTATTTTTCCTTCATTCCAATCGAATTATCACCTTTTCTGTTATTAAATTAACTGTCCAATGGCATTACTATATCCGTGTGCTGAATGCTGCGTGTTTTACTGTGAATTTGTTGACATGTTGGCAAATTTTGTGGTGGCTATGACAGAATAATCAATGATAAATTAGAATTAAGACCTTTTCCTAGGATCACTAAGACTGATCATAAGCTCTGCAACATCTTTGTAGCCTCTTGCTTCCACTACGCCAAAGTGATTGCATATACCCACATTGGGGGAGGCCTATGTTCAACAGTGGACGTGCTGTGGCTGAAATCATGATGATGATGATAACACAGGCCCAAATTGGCCCATTTTTGGGCGGCTGTGATGTGCCCACAACCTTTTTTAAAGTCTTAATCCGCCCCAACCCAACCAGATAGAAATTGTTCTATCTCTTCTCACAGCAATGCCTCTTTCAGCGTCAATTCTCCAAGAGACGGGGTCAGAGTCACCCGGCGGGTCCGGCGGCGGCATAAAACTGGAGTCCGGGTACTACTGCGGCGGGTACAACAGCCCGGCGCCGCCCGCCTTCGAGCCGCCGGCGGAGAGAGCCACGCCGTCCATGATCGTGGGGCCTTGCTTCAGTGAGTACTACGGGACTATTCCCACCTCTCGTTCCCACCACTGCAACTCCTGTGTAGCCAAGATCTACAGCTTGACCGCCATAAAAACCCAACCATTGAAGGTCAAGTTTGTCCCGGCGGAAAGTTAAACTGTCATTGGACCAAGAACATAGGAGGAGTTCGAAATTAAGGTTCGACTTCCCTCCTTTGCAAAGCGGATGACAGGTGACAAAGGTTCAGTGAGTACTGTAGTTAGTACTAGTCCGGCGGCGGTGTAAGACTAGAGTCCGGGTACTGCCGGTTACAGCCCGGCGCCGCCCGCCTTCGAGCCGCCAGTGGAGAGAGCCACGCCGTCCATGATCGCTGGACCTTGCTTGAGTAAGTACAGTACTTAACAGTCGTCGTCGTCGTCGTTTCAGCCAAATGACGTCCACAGCTGGACAAAGGCCTCCCCCAAGGTTTTCCACAATGAACGGTCCTGCGCTGCCCGCATCCAGGCTCTCATCCGTACTTAACAGTAACGTAACAGAAATCTTTAAAAATAAATAATTGTCCTCGACCCCATCCAAACCCTATTTTTATGAATATTTACATTTGTCTTAATATAAGTAGGTAGCTTTATTTAATACTAAACATGTTGTGTACGCTGATTTTGAATCTCTGTTTAGTTATTTAACATTTTGTTAATTTTACCTATTTGTGTACCTATCTTCTGTTTGTGTACCTATTTAAAATAAATAAATAAACTACCTACAGTAGTATAAGGCCTGGTTTAGACACAGTTCAAATGTACAGGAACCACCCAGAAACCGCGCGGTTATTATGCGTATCTGAACCAGTCTAATATTTAACCGTTTGGGTTCCTGCGGTAGTGGTATGTAACAGAGCTGTCATGGTATCTCGCTGACGTCTGTCGTGACAAAAATACACTTCCGCACCGTTCTACTATAACTATACCCCTAACCCACTCAGTTTAGCGCTATACCTTACTATCTGTAATACACCATACAAAGTTACACTAGTTTTTCAATGTTCAGTTTAATGTCATTAGTACTTATCTATTGGTATAGATCAGTGTTTTTCAACCTTTTTCATGACGCGACCCCCCTATAGCATGAAAAAAGTTTTTGCGACCCTCCGACCGTTCGCTTTTTTTCATGCCTTTTACGAAGATGTTGTAGGGACCGAATTCTTCAATCTGTACAACATTTATGCATTTGCATAATTCGGAGCTTTAAAACTTTACTGTTCTTTTTACTGAGGTAGTTTTCACGACCTCTCGCGACCCCCCTATAGAGGCTTCGCGACCCCCTGGGGGGTTGAAAAACACTGGTATAGATGATGGTAGAGACAGCTGTAGGTTCACTCGATGTCACATAAACCTACCACAATCTTAACTTTACACATTACATTTTACTCTAGATTCTGAACTTTACACCTTTAAGTTTAGATTTTAAATTAATCAACAACAATATAGACTATATTGATGTGCCACATCTGTCACGTCACGTGTTCTGACCCACCCGAGCCGGCCCACGGTGCGCCCGCGCCGATATAAATAGGTACGCGCTATAATTAGCGCCGGTTAATTGGGTTACTTTTGTTGACTGGCAGTTAATTGAAATGTTACTAAGTCACAAACTGAAAGGTTGACATAGAAACTATATCACACGGCCTTAAATGGCTGGCATGGTATAAGATTTCCAGTCGCTATGAAATGAGTTCGGAAGGAGGTCTAACAACTTGAAAAAAAAAACGAATTGCTTAAGATGGGAATGGAACCCAAAACTCTTGTTTGTTGGCGACTGCTCTCACCTCAGAGTTACTTATTTTTATTTACGTAGTTTGAGATGCAACTTCTGAATTCATCAGGTTACAAAAATTATAGATTTTCTTTGTGAAAAATTTATGTGAAGGTAGGTACTTTTTTTCTGAGATAAATTCAAATGTGACCCGGCCTTTACAAGTTTGGAAATTCTGAGGTCTACTTAAATGCCGGTTACTTTGGCTTTCCTTTCCTTTTGGATCTCCTCACTTTAGGTACGATCACGATCACTTACAAATATTTTTTTCTAAAGAAATGTTTCTCGTTTACAGACATCCCGCACAGCTCAGCAGGGCTCAGCGTCGCTCAGTCCCCGCTGGTGCCGTCCAACACCATATTCTACCAGCACGCGCCGCCGCCCACCGATACGCACCCCACAGGTAACGTTATCACCGTCATCATCATCATCATCATAATGTTCGTCATCATTTACAATAACTCCATAATAATATGTTCAGCCAGTCGTTGGATTGCAATCGTCCAGATCGAGGTTTTAATGATCTTCTTGACTATGGAAGTAAAAAGTCCACACTGTCATCATTATTATTAATATTTCGTCACTTACAACAGCATTTTTTCGCTGGTTGGGCCTCTAGGACAAAGTAGATAGTAAGATTAGGTAATAGTAATACTCGTATTCATGACAAATTCAATGTGGCTGCTACACAATCAAGTCACAAAATTTTTTTATAGTGATTTTTTCTAACTATATTATAGGCATTGTTCATTTTCAAATCATCATCATCTAAACTGTTTATCGTGGCTTCCATATATCAAAATCCATATGACCATAGCTAGTTACAATGCGAGCACTATTCCAAGTTTACTAAATGCAACCTTGTTCCTTTGCAGCATCAGACCAGCTGACCAGCCAGCACTCGAGCGGGAAGTACGACGGAGCGCCGCAGGACTCGCTGGACTTCGTCACGTTCGTCTGCCAGGAACCCTCGGCCGATGTTCAGCAGTTACAGGTGAGGTTTATGGCTTGGGTAACCTCTTCCAACATCCAAAAAGTTAAGTAACGATATCCTTGCTTAAAGGGATATCTAGGATTGCTTGCTCTTGATAAGAATCTCACCCAAGAGGTGCAATTGCCATCGATGATGGTGCGAGTTGCCCAAAAGATACCTATTTACTCGTGTCTTGAAGGCCTTAAGGTTGTGTTACTTCGGTAACACAGGATACGTAACTTAATTCTTCTACTTTTGTCAGGAAAGCACGGACGAAGCATAGATTAGTCATTTACTTACTGACAGAGTCGACTTCGCTCCAATAGTGAATGAAGAATAAATTTAGGAATTTATTTCTAAATCAGGTCCAGGTTTACCAATTAGAAACTGACATTTTTAGTCTGCCATCGCTACGCGCAAACTATTGAGACTTACTGTGGAAGCATCGCACTTTTAGATACGGATGATGATCAGTACCCAACAAACGTTTCTGGAATTACCAAATTGCCTGAACTTAAAGGTTTTAAACCTTTGTTTGTCACCTGTCATCCGCTTTGCAATGGAGGGAAGTCGAACCTTAATTTCGAACTCCTCCTATGTTCTTCTGATTAATTTCGTTGCGGGTCCAATGACAATTAACTTTCCCCCAACAAACTTGACCTTCATTGGTTGGGTTTTTGTGGCGGTCAAGCTGTAGATTCTGGCTACACAGGAGTTGCAGTGGTGGGAATGAGAGGTGGGAATAGTCCCGTAGACCGCATGAACTTAGTAGTCCTCTTCTATAAGAGCGTGTATATTGCTGCTTGCAGGTCCACAGTCTATCCAGGAGTCCGAAGCCCGCCTACTTCAGCAGCACGATGCTGCCGCCGCCGCCGCTGCCGCCCATGGCACGGCCCGTCGCCATTATCAGGTCAACAGGTGAGCTGACAAAGGTTCACACGGACTTCTACAAATACGTCAATGATCTACCTATTCATCATCATCATCATCATCATCATCATTTCAGCCACAGGACGTCCGCTGCTGAACATAGGCCTTTTTTTTTCGTCGGGAAGTGCTTTGCGCATACCCACTGGTCTATGGGGACGGCCAGTGGGTTATATGGGACTCTCCCCGCCTACCCACCAAAGGCGGGGCCTACCCACTAAAACCCGACGGTTTCCACCAGAGCCCAACGAAACGGAGCCGCGAGTTATTGTCCTGGTTGGACATTCGTCCGCAGCTCCGCCTCAGGCTAGAGGCTCGCTCGTGAGCGAGGAACCCCCAATCTCCTCATCCAGTTGTTTTTTATAGAAGTTTTCTCCTCGCGGCCCTGGTACAACAGGACCCCCGGCACGCCGTAGCGGGTTACGGTCTGCTCTATGCCGATATGCCATAGGACGCCCACTGCTCAACATAGGCCTCTCTTTCCATGTTGATCGATTGGTAGCGGCCTGCGTCCAGCGCTTCCCTGCTACCTTTATGATGTCGGTCCACCTTGTCCACCCAGATTCTTCATTTCACATTAGAAAGAAAGAAAGAAAGAAACATTTATTACGATGAACATCACTTAGTTAAGGACAGAGAACGTATACAGAAAAAAATACAGAAGAAGCACATAAAATATATTACAAGAAAATAAAAAGTGAACTGAGCAGTGCTATCCTGTCGCAACAGCGATGCCCATCGCAATGGGACTCCACTCATATAATATTAATAGCGATCTCGAGAATGCTCCTAACTTAAAACTTGTCGGCCGTTTGGTGTAGTGGTTCAGAACGGACTACTATGCCGAGAGGTCCCGGGTTCGATTCTCGGCCGGGCAGAAATTCAAATGATGAATTTTAATTTCTGTGACGGGTCTGGGTGTTTTCTATGTATAATATGTATGTATTTACAAAAAAAAAGTATTTAAGTATACTGGATTTTAAGAAATTAATCACCCACCACACAGTTTAGTCCGATTCTCTAGCTATTTTGTCTAATTCTCAAATTGGAAAAAAGACCTCCAGAAACGAAGATTTTTGAGTGACAAAGAAAGGCAGGCGGCGTTAAAGGCTCATTTCGAAGGCAAAGATTGTGAATTTTTTGTCAGTGGGTTAAAAGCTCTTTTACACAAATGTAAGAAGTCCGTTGTAGTAGAGGGAGATTAAATAGAAAAATGTATTTTTTACACTTTTCTATCGGCATTTTTAATACCCTAGGCTCAAAACTTTTCAGCCTCCCCTCGTACAAGCTTTGCTTAGTTTGGGACTAGCAGAGGCGCAGTGTAAAATGTCCAAGGATATTTATTTATTTAAAACAGATGTAATGTTTCCAGCAAGCGAGATGGTGGGCAGCGGCGGCGGGTCGCCGGCGTCGCCGGAGGTGCGCTCGCCGCCGGCGTCGCCGCGCCGCCGCTCGCCGCACGCCTACCGCGCCGACTGCCACCCGCCGATATCGCACTTCAACCACTTCCACGCGCAACCGCAGCAGGTACGATACAACCCGTGGAGAGAGAGAATCACCGTGGGAGAGCCACGCTTCGGCATGAATGGGCCGGCTCGACCGGAGTGATACCACGGCCTCACAAAAAACCGGCGTGAAGCAGCGCTTGCGCTGTGTTTCGCCGAGTGAGTGAGGATACCGGAGGCCCAATTGGGGGGGAATGGGATTTGAAAGGTTGGCAGCGCACTTGTGACTTCACTGATGTTGCGGGTGTACATGGGCGACGGCAATTGCTTACCATCAGGTGATCCGTCTGCTCGTTTGCCTCCTATCACATAAAAAAAAAAAAGAAAAACCCGTTTGCCTCTCCCTATGGCCTCGCTGGGCACTTTGGTCAGTTGTTCAACGCCCTGCGATCGAGGGTATCCCATTCATTCAGCTCTCATAAAAAGTTTTACTAGTAAGGCGATTATCACACTGCACCGCGCTCCGCCGCGGTACGCGGGACGATAGATTTAATCAGTATATGCAAGTACCTCAGTTTGTATAGAAAACACGCGCGGTACAACACACTGACAACGCGTTTGCGCGCGGGATTCGTTATAATTATGTCGCCACGCGGACCGCGGCGGAGCGCGGTGCAGTGTGATAATCGCCTAACCTGTGAATACTAACGGTTGTAGGTAGCCGCAGAAAAGTTTATTTTCCGTTTTCCCTCTTTTTTCAGGAAAAATCTTATCCTTGATCCTTAAAGAAACATAGTGTACACAATTTTGTTTGTATTGTCCGGGGATCCTTTACACCACCTCTGGCAAAATAATACAAATCACTAGCCCAAGTGGTCGACAAAGTATCCATTAATAGACTGTTTCTAAGCGCCTCTAGTATACTTAACTTTCACGCCCTCATAAGCAAAACCCAAGACGATGAAAAACTTCAAACAAATAGTGCCAAGTAAAGAAAAATAAAAAGGATACATGGTCTACTTACTCGTAGTACCGTATCTTGGTTACATCAAAGTTCAACGCTCCAAAGAATCTGGAAATTTATAGACTCAACGGGACTAAGCAGTGAACTCAGCTGCCACAATAGATCAAACCTGGTCGAGCTGGCGCAAATGAAGGCTCAAAAACAACAATAAATAAACAATACATCAAAGTTACAAACCAAATTAATTTAATTTAATTTTCTTTATTAGGAAAACATACAGCTTATATTATGATACATGTAGAATAAAAATAATAAGTCTTACACAAGCCTATGAGTTTTCACTGATAATTTAAAATTGAAAAGACAGATTCACAATACTTAATTATCTAACTTAAACATTTATAAACCACTAGCTTTCCGCCCGCGGCTTCGCCCGCGTGGAATTTTGTCTGTCACAGAAAAACTTTATCGCGCGCGTCCCTGTTTCAAAAACCGGGATAAAAACGATCCTATGTTCTTTCCCGGGACTCAAACTATCTCTGTGCCAAATTTCATCAAAATCGGTTGCGAGGTTTAAGCGGGAAAGCGTAACAGACAGACAGACAGACAGAGTTACTTTCGCATTTATAATATTAGTTGGGATGAACCATATTAATGAAGCTCATTGACAAAACTTATTATTTCCAAAAAGATTTCATCTTATTATTTCCATCCCAGGTATTCGCGAGCTACGGCTCGCTAGGCGGCGTGGGATTAGGCGGCGTGAGCGGCGGCGCGGGCGGCGTGGGCGCCGGCGGGGCGGGCGGCGGCGGCGTGTCGCCACCCGGCGGGCTCGGGCTGTATGCTCCTAGGGCGTCTACTAGGGCACCTCCTAGGTGAGTAATAACTTGAGGCAATCTATTGTAAACTAGCTGACCCGGCGAACTTTGTTCCGCCTTAATGGCAATAAATAACGGGATAAAAAGTATCCTATGTCCTTCTCCTGGCTTTAAACTACCTCCCTGACAATTTTCAGCTAAATCGGTTCAGCCGTTCTTGAGTTATAAGTGGAGTAACTAACACGACTTTCTTTTATATAATAGATATTCCAGTAAAAAAACTATGTTTGTGTTGTTTTACACTGGAGAAGGGTAGACGATTCTTAGCCTTAACATGTCATATTTTCTTCTGATTGATTTCTTTGCGGGCTCAACGACAGTTTCATTTTCTTCTAAGAATGACTCAGTTTTTACTGATTGGTTTTTAAACTGTGGTTAACGACTGCTGAAAATCGCCATGGTTTTTTGATGTGGATATCGTAAGAGGCAACTCAGTCAGGGACAAATATGCAAATACCAGGCCACCACAATCCGTCTAGCCAGCAAGTGGAATATAATTGGGTAAATTAGAAAGGGCCGTGTCTGGAGGAAGAGTCTGGAGGACACAACGTTCAAAACTAGATTCAATCTTAGTCATAAATTCTGTCCTGTGATTGGTCTTGCCGAAGTGCCTTGTCAGCAACAACGTTTCTGCGTTTGCGCAGCCTCTGAATGACCAGATGATTATGATAGTAAATTCACCAACGTACCTAAATGATCTAATGATTAGGTTTTTTTTACACTGATTCTGTGGCACATGGAACACCTTATTCACGAATATTAATTTAATTTAACATCTTATAGGTATGAATGATTTGCAATAAAAATCTGAATCTTAACCTTAACGACATGATGATGATGAGGTTTATACATAGACTTTTCTGTGGCTGATGATGAGGTTTTTAAAGCGTTGTCTATGGCAAATTTTCTAACCTAAATAAACTATAATGATGGGGTATTCAAACCAACTTCTCTCCAGATGGAACGCTCCGTTCACAAGCCTGGAAGACGAGTTTAACATCATGACGGCGCCGTCAGGCCCCGACCACGTGGTGCTGCTCGACGACGGTGAGTATCACCTGTATGAAAACCGCCTGATGCCAGGTGAGGACCGACGACCGACGGTGGGTGGGGACGATAAGTGTGAATATTATTTTATTTTTATTTTTCTTTATTCGGAATCTTTTTGTGATTAAACTTTTTGAGACGATTCTTTGGTCTATTCCTCTTTGATCACCTGGATTTGATCACCCAGTGAACTCCAAGCGACATTTTGGTGTTCTTTGATCACCCATGGATAAGAAGTCCACTTTGATCACTTAGGTCAGTCTTTCCCAAAGTGGGCGATAACGCCCCCTTGTGGGCGCTGCAGGCTTAAAGGGGGGCGGTAAGAGACCCAGAAAAAAAATCGAGATGTTGTGTAGAGGCTTGGGAGGCGTCATCTACTAGGAGGACTCTTAGACACCGACTGAGCTCGACTCTTGACTACAAAAATGGGGGGCGCTAAAAAATAATTTATTCTCAAAGTGGGCAGTAGACTAAATAAGTTTGGGAACCGCTGACTTAGGTGATCGTATCCATGGGTGATCAAAGGACACTAAAGTGCCGCCTGGAATCTCGTTGATCAAATCCACGTGATCAAAGTGGAATAGACCGATTCTTTTTGTGATAAAACTTTTTCTGATGAATCTTTTGTGATTTGGAAACATGAATAGTAAATTTTTGGCTTCAGAGACGGTGTGAAAATATCAATCCCGATTTTAATAAACTTCTATTTACCTGATCTAAGTTATTATTTTCTGTTATATATTTCGAGTTATAGAAGTAGGTATTAGATTCAAATTGAACACTTATCGTTTCCACTCTATCAATATTATCTATTTATTTAAATAAATTTATCAATTTACTTATTCTATAATATTAAGGTACATTGTATCAAATATTTCGGACTATATCATATTTATTAGCATTACTCATAACACAAACGATACAATATAATATTCTCCCTAGTGTTTTTAGTGATTTAAGTCCTGCATGAGGCTGATGAGTTCTGTTCGATTCATAAATTGTCCTCTAGTTCTTACTACTACTTTAGAGTGCTCAAATCTGTTCGTATAGTTGTAATACGTGAAATTTTGTAGTTGATGTGCTAGTTGTTACAACCGCAATCCCCTCAACAGAACGCTTCTTCCAATCGAGCGTGATCACGTCAGAAGCGACTGCAATGGACACAGCCACCTCCGTCGGTCCCGTGGTGGAGCCCGACGACATTGCGCCTGATAAACAGGCTCCCGATCTTCATTCCCCGTGATGCTCGCCCCCCGCGCCCGGCCCGAAGGACCACGAGCCCGGGGCAACGTACCAGGAGCCCGGGGCAACGTACCAGGAGCCGGGGGCGACGTACAAGGAGCCGGGGGCGACCGACAAGGATTCAGACAAGGGGTGCGCGGGGGCGACTGTGCTGCGGTGGACGCCGGCGCCGTTGCCGCACTGGCGGCCGGTCTCGCATCGGACTGTGTGATTTTGATTTCAATTTCAATTTCAATTCGACGTCTGCGCACCGTCTGAATCTGGATTAAGCAAACGTATCTATTGTTATTTTGCCTACTTTAAATTCATCTTGGCCCAAAGGTTAACTGGAGGAGAACGCCATACGGCATCAAGTTCAACTTTTGTACCTTGTTCAATGTGCAAATAGGGTGCGATTTCCGACTGTAAGCAAAGTAATAAAAACAATCTGCCAAAAAAATGCTTTTGGCACATAAGAGGTACCTAATATGGTTCAAAATATTATAATAGGTAACTCTCTATGTCACCACTTGCTGTAAAATCTAGCTTGAAAATACTTTGAACAATGCAAAATTAATTTATGTTTTTTATTTTAATTCAGACGATCTGTGGACGTTAATAGCTTCGACTTAGTGGAATTTTTTATCGTGAAAAAGCGATAAGTAATTTGTAATTTACTTACATAATTTTGTGGCATATAATAATTTACTGGTCATATTGTTTAAGCTATGTAGCAATATTTACGTTACAGGCGATGTTTTTAAACTTTTTGGTGGTGGTAATTTAGTATTCAATTTTTGTAATGGCGGCGAATAAGCTAGGAGGGGGCTAAATGTAAATATAATTAATATAAAATGGTCGAGGCGTCGGCAACGTAGTTGAAAATTAGATTTTACAATTTTTAGTGTTATTGGTCGCCTGCAGTTCCCAAATTTTCTTTTAAAAGTTACCGAAATTGAGTACAAGAACTCTATTAAAATTTCTTCATGGATAACTTCCAAGTTTTTTCGCCAGAGGCGCTAGCGGACTCTTGCACCGAGTGACTTTGCCCTGTCGGCTTTTCAAAGCGCCATCTACCAATGACATAGGAACTACAGACCACCAATATCGCTACCATTACTACATTTAAGGCGGTAACAAAATACAATACAATACTCCAACGATAAATATGTAAAAATAATGCTACGAAAATTAAAAAAACAACATATTATATTCTAATATTTTTATAGAATATAAAAGTATGATATGATCAAGCCTTCCAGTAATTTAGTGAAGTTAATGAAAATTCAGCTTGTAGCTATTATTTTGCTGGGCTGTAAGACAGGAAAGCGGAATAAACAAAATGCTTCCAGGACAAGCGTCAAAATAATAATTATTTGACGAAAGTGTGATATTATAAGTTGTTTTCGTTTCGTTGTTGTGTGTTTTGTATTGAAGATAGAATAAGCGGTATTAGAATATTTTTTTTTAATTTATTGAACGAATATTTAAGAAAGACGAGCCTTGCTTAAGAGATTAGTTTAGTTGTATTATTAGTGGCCATGAGATTGCGGATTACTGTTGTTTTGATTCGGCTATTTATTTATTACAGACAATGCAACATCGACGTACGCACAAATTTTAGATAATGGCAACTAATGCACAAAATATGTATGACTTATTATGACAATAAGTTTTAAGAACATTCATATGATCTCAAAACAGTTGCATAATGATTAAGATTTGCGACAGCGGATCGAAAACCACAGTAATTCGTCGTGTAGTTCGACAATCTTCGTCGAGGGACATTTTATAGGTGCCTTTCATAAGAATAAAGTAACGTACTTTTAGAGACTTGTAAATTGTAGTGTTCTTTTAATAAATCCATCCGCTCATACCTGTAACTTTGCAATTCATTAATACCTACCTAAACTTAAGATGATGTATTGTTTTCTGTAACCAAATTAAAGTTAAGCAACTACAGTTAAGGTCTAATGTAAAGTATTTTGGTTACAGAATTAAAGTCGATACTATTCTTTATCTACGAAATCCTAGTGATTTATTGTACTTAATTAATTTCAGTCATTTTTTGCGTACCGTGGCCATACGAGAAAAGCTAGTCATTAGAGTTACAATGTAAATTTAATATAAATTAAAATGAAAAAATATTTACATTATATTACCCCTTACGCTTATTAGTAAGGGGTTGAACCTAAAATTGTGGCCAAATTACACTTAATAAAATCCAAATATATATACACGATTTTTAATAGGTCTAGATGTATAAGTACTTAGTAATATAAGTTTGTAGTGACAATATGATGAAGAATGTAATGTGACAGCTCGGGAAATTTCGAGCAACGAAAGAAGAGTCTTAGTAATTGTCAAGTTTACTCACACGATGATTTAATTTACTATCTGTAACTATGTTTCTTATGAACATATTGGACGCTGTCACATTTATCATTTTGTAACACTATTAAACTTTTATTTACGTAGAAGAGATTTAATTTAAAACAATATTCAGGCTTTTCTTCTCATACATTTTATCAATATGTATTCTTTTTGTTACCGTTACCAAATTCTTTTGATGCCTTAAATTACTTTTGTAAATTAGAAAAATAGGATGATAGGTAACGTAGCAATAAATGACAAGCAATAATTATAAATCTAATTATAAAGAAAACAGCTTTAGTGAAGCTAGAGATTGGTACTGAGAGTAGTTTGATCCTATATTCATAACAATTGACTTGCAGAATATTTTTTCTATAGAAGAAATGTGGCTGAACTGACTGGGTTATATAAATTGGAATTAAAATTAGAAGATCAGTTTGGTACAATATAACATAGCTAATCACAAAACAAAAACTATATTAGACTATAAAATACAGCTGTAATAGTTCAACTAGGCAGAAAGGCGGGAATTAGTCAATTGCTAGCTATAGACATTAGAGGATATAAAACAGTTAGAAGAGATAATAGAAATGTCACTTATGGCTTGTTGACTACATTGATTCGGGAAACCTACACAACTTTGACGTATTGTAAAATCTGAACGAGGTGACTTTGTCGAGTCGGTATGGAATATAATATTGGTGACGAATTTAAACGCTCATTGGTGCCGAAAATTCTAGACTGTGATTCAATTGTTCATTCTGAACGTGTCTTATATTGAAATAGTTGTTTTGTATGATTGGCAATACGCACGGCTAGTGCTATGAGAACACTGTATTACTACAGAGAGGGACAGAACATGTTGTATGAAATGCATTTGTTATTATTGTAATAAAGATTTGTATCCATAAATAAATGTAAAGCAAAGAGGTGTAATTTAACTTTTATTTTATTAACAGCATTCGTAGTTTTGGTAGTAGTTTATTAATAGCTTTGCTATGATTTTTGCGTGTAAGGGACAAATAGAACAATTTTCGAATACAACGCAGTTCAATAACTAAAATGCCTCTGCACGTTTTTCTATGTGTCTCTTTACATGCATGTTTAATTACTTTTGATTAGCACCACTGTTACGATATGGAGTAATATTGAAAGCCTAAACATTATGTGCCTTAGATACAACAATATTGTATGATATTTATGATGCGTTCTATACAACGTGCTAACTAGAAATAAAGATAAACGTTATTTTGAAAGCCTGGAACTTGGATAATTGTCTTCATTGTTAGTGTTTATTTCAGCGAAGGCTTGCGTGTGGATCTTTCAAGATTTTCTATCACCAGCACTCTTCCTGAAGCTATCTTTATTTCCCCCCTTGTAATTTGACCTATAAAATTTAGATTTTCTTTCAAATCCCGTTAATTTTTCAAAATTATGAGAAACTGGGCACCTAACAGTCTGGAAATTGATTTCGAATCCAGAGTATATTACAATTATAACCCTCATCTAATGTTTATTCTACAATTAAGTAACGCTTTAAAGCGTAGTTTGCTGAAAATATTAATACTTCTTACTATATTGTATAATTTTAGTAAATACCTACATTATACCCATTTAAGTACCTATTATATACTTTTACTGGCATGTATATCTACTCTACGCCACAATTGAATTAGGCACGCTTTTTATTTGAAATGATTAGTAGATAATCTTTCATTCTCGCATGGCTTTTTACTATTACCGATTGAAAGGTACTATATCTACAATTAAATATGTTTTAATTTCTATTATTTTCTATTCACATATTGATAAAAGTTCTTAATGGAACTCAATCCGTCTTATTATTAAGTTTGTGGATTTCTGAAATTGAAATAACATACATACGTAAATAGAAAATAATTATAAGTATAATTAACCAATAGAAGAATACTCCTAGTTATGAAATTTTAGTTGATTGTACGTGCAATTACAATTAATGTTTTGTTAGCGAATTTATTAATTAATTTTAGTGTACCTACTTGTGTCCATGACCATATTGTTTGTAAATATGTTCCGGAGTGTATTTATAATTTCTATTTGTATAATTTAACAGTAGAAAGCGAATTTATGTACTACGTTCTTTGTAATTTGTCCTTACCGTGCTTTCATATTTTTAAATTTCTTTTTTTACATTTTTATTTGTATTCAAAGTCATAAAGGATCAAATGTACTATTTGGGAAAGGAACACGCGTACCAAATAACATCAGTTATTGAATCGAATAGTTCATTTGATTTAGACATAATAAACTAAAGATAGACTTGTAAAAATGTTATAACATGTATTTTTAACCTATACATAGTAAGATATTTATAGATTTTTAGTCGTTTAATTATTTCGAACGACTTGTTATAAAGAAAATTGGTGCTTAAAGCTTAACAAAAAATGAACGGCATAATAGTGTCGAGTATGTATTGTCATGGGGAGTCGAGCATTATGACATAGCATGCGTTGTTATGCTTGCATTACATGTGGAATTGCTTGTCAGCCAACGTTACATAAAAAAACAAATGAGAAAATAATTGACTAATTTTGAAAATAGAAAATCTTGATTAAAAAAATAGAATTTTATTAAAAACACCTCGGTGCAAGGTTAGAGCGTGCAAAAAAGTAGCTTCGAAATAATTTTGTTGTTTGACGATTTAATATTATAAAAATAAACGATTTCACATGTGAATGTAAGCAGTTATAATAATGTAGGTAAACTTTGCTCAATATCGATGAAAACTGAAAGTGTTACAGTTGATGCAATACAAACAAACAAACACACAGTTGAGTTTTATTTAATGAATTAGCCTATTCCAATTTGAATAAATCAAAATGGTTAAAAATGACGTCTACTGCAGCTCGACTGGGATATCCACAACCCCTCTAGGTGCTTCCCGCGACATTCACCAGATCGTCAGTCCACCTAGTGTGAGGCCTACCTACCCACACCACGTCTATGGTGGCTTTTCTGCCCCATCGCATTATTTTTTTTAAATGTGTATTGAAAGCATAATATATTTTAAAGTTCTATTTTGAAAGGGCGACCAGGTAAGTAGGTATTTAATTCAAGGTAAATACCCAATGAGCTATTGAGCTAAAAGTTCTGGGTTCGACTCTCAGCCTCAGGTTTTTCTGGGTACCTACCTAAGTAAGTTAATTGTTCCCAATTTAATTTTTTTTATAGTGGTGAATAGAATTTATTTGACAGATTTATAATTGATTGCCGTCGACGATGACAGCATGACTGATATTATTGTCCACTATCGATCAATCGATATTCGTTTATGACCTACTACGCTTCACAGCCACGCACGCCACAATGTGCTAAGGCTCTACGCACACGAATACTTTTGGATGCATGAAAAGCCCCGATGGATGGCGCTTTGGCGCATTTAAGTGATAAAATAATAAATACCAGCTTTCCGCCCGCGGCTTCGCCCGCTTGAAATTTTTTGTCACAGAAAAACTTTAACGCGCGCGTCCCTGTTTCAAAAACCGGAATAAAAACTATCCTATGTCCTTTCCCGGGACTCAAACTATCTCTATGCCAAATTTCATCAAAATCAGTTCAGTGGTTTAGGCATGAAAGCGTGACAGACAGACAGACAGAGTTACTTTAGCATTTATAATATTAGTATAGATTGCGCAAAGTTGCATTGGTTCCTCCTACCATGAGCACAAGCACAACTAGATGCGACGTAAAAGACAAATAATAATATGATAACGCCATCTAAGAATGAAAGTTGGAACTAAATTTTTAGGAGTGGTGCTATTCAAAGCGCAGTTCATTATAATTTAAAAAAACATCAAAATTTTATATTAAATATTTTTTGAGCTGTATTCTCTACCTACATAATTGAAACGGCAAATTATTGCTAATTAATATAAAATTACGATAAAACTCAATTAATTTAGTAAATGTTACTGTTGCTGCCCACCAGAGGCGCTTTAATCTGCCCAGTGAGAAAATAGGGAAGGCGATTCTTCAATATCGATAAATTGAATCGATTGGAAATTGAACTGACAATTTTTTTTACAAAAACTACTATTTATTTAAATGAAGTGTCAGTCAGTTTAATCAGTCTATTTTGCATTTACGGTATTTGCATTTAATACTTATTAAGATAATTCTACTACCCGATAGCTCTGCCGCACAATTTATAAACGCAGTAAGTAACACGTGAACAGTTTCGAGAAAAACGCGATCAAAGTTGAAATTTTATTTTGGGGTGTCTACAATTAGTTACGCAAATATTTGTAAAAAAAAATATATGGGCTTATAGAGCTAAACTTAAAGTTTATTTTGATATGAGGTTTTTGTATTTTAATTAATATTTTGTATTTAAAATTATTAAAAAACTGTTTATGTTATGGATTAACTAAGATTTCGTTCGATACTTACTACCCATGAATGCAGTATGATTGTTCCTTACTGCGTTTATCAGTAGTTTTCGTTACTTACGGTACATGTGTTAAATGATTGATTTAAATTTTAGTTCTTACAACGTAATATATGCGCCGTATCTTTACAACTTACTGCATTTATGAGTGGGAGTGTGAATCAAAATAATTTATCAAAACTTTAAATGCGCAGTAATAATACAATTATACTGCGCTTATCATTAGCCAATAACGCTTTCATGTTGAACTTTCCCAAATGACCAAGGGGTAAATGAAACAAGTATTACAAAATAATTGCTGAGATCGCTTGTTATTCAATCAAAAATTAAGATATGGCACCCACTTTTAGATCTTAAATATACCAATCTAATAAAATAAAGACTCGGTCGTTCGTTTCAGCCGAAAGATGTCCACTGCTGGACAACGGCCTCCCCCAAGGATTTCCACAAAGACCGGTCCTGTGCCGCTCGCATACAATTGTAGAAACATAATAAGAATGATGTAATTGGCACATACTGCACTATTACTGTGTAGCAAATTAAATAAGCGCGAGTATTCACGTAATATTAAGTTATTATGTGCTCTTACTGCTAACATAGTATGTGAAGAAACCTACAATCTGCTCTTTACTGCGTTTATGATAATATGTATCTTCCGTTCTAAGATAGATAGAAAAAAACGGGTCTTTGATTCTTATAGATCGCGATGTCAGGATTCAGAATATTCAAAACAATCATAAATGCAGTAAGTGGTACTTACTGCGTTTATAAATTGTGCGGCAGAGCTAACTGGTAGATAGTTCTAGATGACATTAAGTTAACCTTCATCGATGACCATTCGTCTATGAATCCAAGCATTTCGTGTTCGCTCAGCCTAAATGTAATGAATGGCATGGTACAGAGAGCAACACTTGAGTCAGCTTGCTATTTTCGTCTCTATTCCCATTAAAATACGGTTGCAAATAGTAAACTGCTGTTGTTTTGACAAAAGGGCAGTTGTATTCACACCCCTCGGTTGAGGCCTTTACAAAGCAACCCCGAACGTAACTCAGAGTCTAGTTAGAATTACAACTTTTCCCTTACAATAATACAGTTACAGTATTTTTGGGTAAAACTGTGGTAACTAGACGTTATTGGAAAACTCTACCTTCTAATTTCTGAAGCAAATAACTTGTAAGTATTGTCATCATTATCAGCAGTCCACTTTAGTAATAGGTAGGTACCACTGGCCTTTCCTAATTACCTACATCAATTCAAATTTTAGGCTTTACGGCTACTTTAAGTTCAACTAATATTATGTGCGTATTTTATGATATTGTTTCCATTTTTACAATACATATTCGTAAAGAAGTGGTTAAATTAAGTAAGCTTGCATGCATTACCAACTCAAAAGCGTAATTTGGTTAATGTACCATAAACATTCATTGAGCAGATAAAAATTAAAAAGGTATTTATTTATAAATTATACTAATAAACTATTATTTGCCGCTAATCAATCTCTGAACCAATGTGGTTGCAGGTACAAATAATTTTAATCAATCTTCTAACTCGCCAAACTAATTGAACACGCAACGGCAACGCTCTCATAACGCCCAGTAGGTATTCGATAAATCGAACTTTGGCATAATCATCGTGCGGTCGGATCGCGAAAATCAATACCAAGTCGATGTTGCATGCTCGCTCCCTACAAACAGTCGCTAACTTTGAAAACATTCAATGCTCTTGGAACTTTAAATCGAATTACACCCCTAACGCTTTCAAAATAAGACAGCAATTGCTATGCGCGGAGTAAAAAGATAGAACTGTGTCACAATAACGACCGAAAGAACGGATAATCGACGGCCAGCCTTGTGCGATATCGATTTTGCTAGGGTGTATTTTCAGTTCAATGCAGCACTACCCTACACCCATCCCTTTTGCTTACCAAACAAAATGCATGAGGGAAAAAGAGACGGCAATACTGCTGTTGTTGCGTCGCGCCGTGTGGGGTCGCCAGTCGCGCGGTTGCCATGGCAACAGGTCACATGACGAGGGAGAGATTTCCAATATTACAAGATCGTCGTATCAATTTTCGATAATATTGTAGGTCACATTCTATAAATGGCCGAGTTAGTTTTTAATGTTTTTGTTAACGGGAAAAAGATAACTATCAGTGTGGAAGAGGAAGACGATGGTAAAGAGAATAAGAACGTATTGAATTTGAAAAAGGTGAGATGTTTTCCAATATGGTTGACTGAGTATTGATTGACAATTTGACGCTGTTAACTCGATCGGTTAAGACAAGTCTGTCAGATAGTGTCAGAGCAAGTTATTGATTTTTTGCGTCTATACAATATAATGTAGGTAGAGGCTAGAAGAGGTAGGTATACCTACGTAGGTCAACTTATGAAGTTGAACATAACCTAAACGGAATGTATAGGGTAATGGGTAATAAGATACCTAGGCCTACTTACCGAATCTAATTACATAGGTATTTAAGATAGATCATAACAATAATTGTTTTTCGTTAGTTTAATTAGGTTAGGATAGATTATTTCTCTCTATCTCTCACTAAGATGTAATTAGGTACATACCTAGTCAAGCCAAGATTATGAAACATGTAAAGTTTGCATGCACCGACTCCAAAAGTATCAATCATGGTATACCTACATAAATATAAATAATTCGTCCGAATAAATAAGTAGGTAATTAGTAATTATTTTTCTACGTTTTAGTGTAGGTTTTTTGGAGTCGGTTTTATTTTTTTATAAAATTTTACTTATTTCTTGCTTTTTAGTTAACCAATTATTACCTTGATGTTACCACTGAAGGTAGGCAGTACACTGAGACCAAAAAAAATTGGTTCATAATCGGCGGAGATATTGTGTATAAAAAAGTTCAACCCCAATTTTCCACCCTTGGGGGTGAAATATTTTCTTCAAATTCGCATGAAACCACCCTTTTGATAATACCTATTCAACAAAAAAATAATCGTTCAAATTGGTTTATAATCGGCGGAGATATTGCGTATAAAAAAGTTCATCCCCAATTTTCCACCCTTGGGGGTTGTTTTTCTATTATTAAATTTAAATGGGACCACCCTTGAGGTATTACCTATACGCCGAAAAAAGATTTGTTCAAATCGGTTCATAATTGACGGAGTTATCGCGTAACAAACATAGAAAAAAAAAAAAAACATACGGGTCGAATTGAGAACCTCCTCCTTTTTTGAAGTCGGTTGAAAATAGTAAGACACGGGTCTTAGAGTAGGCGCACACCGTTGATTTTTAGTTGGCCGATAGTTGTGCCCGATTTTAATTTTTATGAAGAATCGGCCAAATCGAATCGGCGTAGTGTGCGCACTCCCATACATGCCCATACTGATCAACTGCCCGACTAAACTATCGGCCGACGAAAAATCAACGGTGTGCGCCTACTCTTAACGCGACGTTTATTAATGAGTTCCATTATAAGTTACCACTTCTAAGTTGACCCCACCGGGCGTTGAACCCGGGCCTTACGCATCGGGCCTATACCCTATGACAATGAATGCAACATTGTATGCGGATGTGGCTATACCAACCCCGTGACACCATGTGTACTTATAGACCCACTTCCGAACGGTTATGACCGCGAAGCCATAAAAAGTGTTTTATATCCTAGCACAATCTTAAAAAAATCTGTACTTTATTAAAAAAAAGCTTCACAAGCTTTAATCCATCAGTTTACTTGACTATTAGTTGACTGGTAGAGATCTGTTGACTGGATCCTTGGGAGGACTTTGTTCAACAGTGGACGTCTTTTGGCTGAAACGAACGAACGGACGATAGTATTTACCCGACTGCGCCAGAAAGAGGGTTATGTTTTTTTATGATTCTATCTAGACTAGGACTGCTTAGTATGTTACATACCTGTTTTATTTATTGTGTGACAGGTAGACTAAAATTGTACTTTTTGCAAGGAAAAGGCACACCATTTTGTCCCGTCCTGGACCTACTTTTGACTCAAAAGTAGGGGATGAGTTTTGCTGGGGATTGAATAATTTCTCATACGAGTACCTACCTACAGGTGGTATAAAAACATGAGTTTTTATAACACCAGTAGGTATTCGTATGATTGTTAACAAATGATTGTTTGCTTGCTTTTGGTAAGAAACTCGGTGTTTTTGAACGGGGGAAACGTGCGTGCGGGAAATGCTAGTTAAAATGGTTTAACTACGTACATAGATAACCTGATTTTATGTGTCTAATGCCCGTTTTCACCATCAATCCCTAATTTTTAAGTGACCCCTTTGAAAACAAAATTCCTGTTATGTGTTACCATAGGGGTCACTTAAAAATTAGGGATTGATGGTGAAAACGGGCATAAGTATATCCTAATGTTATTATGTTCACTTATAGTAGAGGAATCCACCTCAGACTAAATTCTTATAAAAGTTAGTTGAATGGCAATAGATAATAATTAACTAGAGTTTAATAAAAAAAAGTCTCAATCTCAAATACAGCTTAATAAAAAAAGTCTCAAGCAAGATTGACAGTTGACACCCTTGCCACTTGAGCAAAAAAAGTAACAGGTCAACGCACCCGGAAGACAGCCGCACGCGCCGCACAGGTGCGCGCTCGATAATATCGATTGCGGCAAAAAATCGATGCGTGACGTCACAAAATGGCCGCCGCAGCTGGCGAGGGCGACCAAAGGGGTGTTTTACATTTTTTTAAACACGCAAATGCTTTTTGATGTTGGGCTAGATTGATATTTTCGAAGGGTTGCATGCAAATTGGCTCCGCTGGATTTATCGTTTCTTTGTTGTTTTGTATGGAGAAATTTTTATTCTTTTCCACCCGTTTTAGTCTTTTGGTAGATCTATTTATTAAAATTTTAAGTACGTAGGTAAGTAATGCTTAGTTAGCCTATGACAATAAAGAAACATTTTATTAGATTTACGCTACTTTTATTATTTTGATTATTCTTCAGTTGCTTAGTAATAGAATGTTTTTTTTAAATTAGTATCTATGTTCCAAAGTAAAGTAGGTAGGTACTAAACATATATTTAAACTTTTCCAATCGCCTTAACATCAGAGTAATTTTAATTTGCCTAAGGATGCGTAACAAGATGGGTTCCATACCCGGTTATCAGTTTGGCATTAGTGACGTAACCGTAAGGTACGATGTGGTATAGGGGCCCAACGTGATAGTGATGTAAATAATTAAACCCTCGATATCGATAAAAAATAATTCAAAAAAAATAATTTGATATTTGTGTTCGCTCGTAGCGTCTCGTAGCGATATAATATTTGTTTGCTACGAAGAACTCTTGCCGTAGCAGTTCTCTGTAGCGTTGTAGCTTAATTGAACTTCATTTGATGTAGCTTGGAAAATGAAAGAAAAACTGAACTCTGTAGCTTGTATTTACTTTCAGCTGTTTGAACTCTACGTAGAATGACTTTTTGTTGAAATCGGTTGAAGTTTCAATTATTTTTATTTTATTTTATTCCTGAATTACACATGTTTGAAGCCATTTTTGGGCTTTTTTGTCTTTACTTAGTTCATTTAATGGATCCGATGATGAAGTAATGCGAAACGTGTATCAACTATTAATAAAGAGTGGAAAGTATGTGACTGAGATACGTTAAGTACTTCGCAAATAATGCTTTTACGTAACACGCTGGTGTCGCAAACCTTTTGTTTAGTATCGGGGTCAGTTCTAAATTACAATGGCAACGTTTTTATCGAGTATTGTTCCGAGGCCTCCCTAAAAATCCCTCTGAGCCAGGTGGTTAGGGTCATTCCGTGTCGGCGTGTGCTATACAGTCTACCCTACAACTAAATATCCCATAGTAAACCTTAGCACGTTGCTTTAGGGACTATGAGTGGGTGAAGGGACTGAGGTGCACTGTTTTTCCATAAATAAATGGGGTTGACGGTGAATAACAATACTTGTATTATGTTACAAAGACTAGACAGATGAATCATAACATTTTCGAAGAAAAAACGGTATTCAAAGAACCTTTGGAAAATAAATCTCCTACACTGTATCTTTGAAATTGTTTAAAATGTAACCGTAATGGTATGTTTCTAATTAGAATGTCGTAATCTTTACGTACTTGATTAATTATAACTATGTATAGTTCAATTCAGATCTAGATAGAGTCATACTATGATAGTAAGCTAAAATGAAATAATTCGGGAGCCATTTTATACCCTAACTACTTGTTCTTCTAATCTTAATTTAACTATGTACCTACTACAAAAAGTAATAAAGTGCGGAACAAACGGTGCTTGAAAAGGACAATGACTTGTGCTAATCAACTAATGTCTGCAAAATGTGTAGAGTTAAAGGTATTTTGGCAAAGTGAAGAAACGAACAAAAACGACCGCCAACATTATAGAGATTGCGATATTTATTTTTTCTCCAAATTTTTCATTCGGCAAAGTTTTGTCAGATTTTTTGCTTAACATGCAAGGTGTTAGTTACAGTAACATTTATTGTGAATAGAACTGTATTTTCCTGAAGTATTTGCATAGAATCGCCTGACGCTTTCACATGAATTTATGCAGAATTTCCCAGTAATTGAGATTTTAAAATGTAGGTCGTTTAAAGCATGTGAGATTCTTAGGATCCGTTTAAGCCTTTCATAGCCAGAAGTTCCGCCATGAGGTAAGCTGAAGTACGTAGGTCGCTCAGTGACAGCAATGCTCCAACGAGGGCACCCCGCGTATTAAACGCCCCTCTACAGCACACGTCTTGGGGAAAACCCTTCGAAGATCTTGCACATCTCCGGCTTAAGTCGTCGGGAAAGCTAGATTCTAATATAAACGCAGCAATGGTTGCTAAGTAAGGGAAAAAGTCCGTTTTAAGAGAAGTAACGCCTAAGGGTAGGTTAAGGGTGCATTGTATAGTGTTCACGTCAGATAGCCAGACAAAGTAACCCCAGCCAAAGTAATACAGCTCCATTTGTGTTCAGATAAGGTTGGAATTGCAATGGTAGAGTGTAGATAGGTTGCTCGCAGGCGAGGGTAAAGAAACAGGGGTGTTTGCAGGATGCGGGGCGGGGGGTCGGGTCGGCGCGGCGCGCACGCGTGATCCAGTCGCCCGTGCGACCCCGCTGCCGCCGGCCGCGCGCCATGGACGACACAAGGGTGCGAGACCGCGCGCCGCTCACCGTCATCGTCGCGCCAAGCAACGCTTCGCCCCCCAGGCTGTCCCCTGCCGACCTCCTCCCCGACGGCGATGCGGCGTTCCACCCTCTCTCCGCCGTCAACGGGCGCCTCACCCCGCCGGGGCTCGAGCCCGCCTCGTATGCGACCCTCACGCCCTTGCTGCCTCTGCCGCCCATCAGCACAGTCTCAGACAAATTCGCGTACCATGCCGGCGGCACCTTCACGGTCATCCAGCAGCAGCAGTCGTACGCGTCCCTATCACCGGCTGCTTACAATGAGCCGCTGTCCCCACAATCGGCGTACAGCAGAAGAAGTGCGTCACCGAATTCATTCGAGAGGCGGTCCCCGACGCCGCCTCTCCCAAGCCCCGGCTTGGACCTCAACGCGGCGTTGATGGCGAGGGAGGAGCAGCAGCAGCAACAGAACGACTTAGAAGAGATAAATACTAAAGAGCTAGCGCAAAGGATAAGTGGCGAGCTGAAGAGGTACTCGATACCGCAGGCGATTTTTGCACAGAGGGTGTTGTGTAGGTCGCAAGGGACGCTCAGCGATCTGCTCAGAAACCCGAAGCCCTGGTCGAAGCTCAAGTCTGGGAGGGAGACCTTCAGGAGGATGTGGAAATGGCTGCAGGAGCCGGAGTTCCAGAGAATGTCTGCGTTGAGGCTAGCAGGTAAGACTGCATGACGCTTCAGTATTTGTGGTAGATTTGCCATTTTAATTTTGAAACTGTGTCTAAGAGATGTAACTTTTATTTTAAGGAAAGATTTTACTGTGTACGTTTTTTTTCGAATACAGAGACCACTTATAGTAGTTGTCTTCACAGGCTTACTCATTATGTAAAGTAGGCTAGTGACCTATTCAAAAAGGTTTTTAAATACGTGTTTTCTCATTACTTGTTTCTGTTTTGTTAAAATTGTGTTATTCCTTTTATCTATTTACTTAAAGGTTATTGCTTAAATAATGTTTTTACGTTAAGACTTTTCTATTTGGAATCCCACTATATTCTAATTGGAAATTTAAGTTAGTGATGTATTTTATTATTCAAAAGTTTAAGCTTAAAACCGTAAAAGTAAACTTCTTTTCGTCTAGTTCTTTTTGTATCAATGCGTTTTCTGTAGGGAAACACACCTGGGTAATTTATAAAAAGAATCGAAAATAAAAGTCAACAGTAGTTTACAAACAGCGGAACGTCAGCTGCCCGCATCGATTGTGCAGCATCGATTCGCGGGTCGATGCGGCGCGTCACTACGCGCTGTAGGGCTGACACAAACAACATTTCAAATCTATCCAGTAAGATATTTTCTTTTCGTGTTTGCTATTTTTCATTTGTGTAACGTAACATTTATGTAACTAGGGATCCGATTCTTCTATAGTATCTATAGGGATATTTCATTCGTTATTTATTAATGACCAAATTATCGGTCACCGTATAAAAAGATCATCTAAAATTTCTGAAAACGAAATAATAATATTTCTCTGTAAACAGTTAAAAAACAGTCACTCAACATAAGATATTTCGTGGGGTCAGTAAAGTAAGTAAGTGGTTGGTTTTTACCTCAAAAATGTGTCATTGGATTCAGATTCAAATTGAGGACACGTGATTAATAGATACTGTTACAGACTACCTAACTGGATCCAATCATTCTCGTGTCCAAGTTACTATTTTTCACCTCTTCGTCGAGACGTGCCAAGTGTAGTTTACAAACAGCGGACCGTCACACGGTGGGCTGATATTAGAGCTTCATAGACTTAGCGTCGCTCAAAAATCAAGTGCCGAATTTTGAAAAAATAAATATGCCAATGTGTTCCTTTACCAAAAAGGAATATTTTATGTTATGTAACGTTTCTTGATAAAGTTATTATTTAATAAGTTATTGACAATTTCCTTTTTTTTGTATGGAGCTCAACATTTATTTTTATTTTATTCGTTATTCTCAAGCTTTCTTAAGAAATTAACTTTTGTATTATGTAATCTATACTTATAATAAATCTGTAGAGAGGTCAATTCTGTACATTAAATATATTTTCAAAATAACTATCAGGGGGTGATTAGTGATCGATACTGATGCCAAAAATGCAATCAGTTAAATTTTTGTCTGTCTGTCTATCTGTCTGTCTGTCTGTCTGTCTGTCTGTCTGTATGTTCCTTATAGAAACAAAAACTACTCGACGGATTTTAACGAAACTTGGTACAATTATTCTTCATACTCCTGGGCAGGTTATAGGATACTTAGGAATTCCCACGGGAACGGGCATTAGCTTGAGAATAACGAATAAAATAAAAATAAATGTTGAGCTCCATACAAAAAAAAAGGAAATTGTCAATAACTTATTAAATAATAACTTTATCAAGAAACGTTACATAACATAAAATATTCCTTTTTGGTAAAGGAACACATTGGCATATTTATTTTTTCAAAATTCGGCGCTTGATTTTTGAGCGACGCTAAGTCTATGAAGCTCTAATATCAGCCCACCGTGCGTCAGCTGTCCGCATCGATTGTGCGGCATCGATTCGCGGGTCGATGCGGCGCGTCACTACGCTTCGTAGGGTTGACACAAGCGACAATGTTTTTCAGATTTTGATTAATAATTATTTTCTTATGCATTGGCAGAAAGTCTCTGGCTCACAGATAAAAAAAATTTAATAATCACCCGGCAATGGAAAGGGCGTGGGATCGAGTTTAACCTATAATTGATTTTTGTGGATAGGGTTAAAAGTAGAGGGAGAGTTTATGTAGATAGGTACTAAGTGCAACTGTGTGATTATGCATTAAAAGCTGTTAGAAATATCCATACCTGTATAAATTATAGGTAACGTAACCAGGTGGTAACATTAATCATCGCTTTTGTGGTAGATGGAGATAGCTGAATTTTAGCCCGAAGGTTATTGTGTATTTTTTGGCTTAACACGGTTATTTATTATACGTTATCTTATCATTATTTTGTCAGACGAGAAGGGTTTTGCTTGATAATTGATTGTATCTATTTTGGACAACAGCGTTATTAATGTTACTTGTGGATAATTATGTAGCTAGAGATATAAAAAAATGGTATTCTTTGGAAATAACAGAATTTATTACTTAAACTCAATTTTGAGTAGTATAATTGTAGATTTAAATGTTACGTAACGTAGGATCTAACGTTATCTTTACATGATTGCCATCGAATATTAATATTTCTAACAGTTTATAATAGTGAAATGTTTTTGAAATATTTTTCCCCTTTGTTTCTAGGGGAAACGTGTCCACTACAATGACACCCCTTTTTTAAATGAATTGCGTAAAGTTGGGGTGGGCCCCTGTTAGGGTGCATAGAGCCAGTGTGTCAGCGACCTAATCTCTAGTGACGTACCCATCGACCGCCGCCAATCGATGCGCAGGAATCAGCTGCCCGAATCGATTGTTGTATTCGAGCAGCAGCTGATTTTGTGCAACTCTGTAATTATTAGTGGGCTAAGTAAATGCTATTAAGTATGGGCATAATTAATGTGAATAAATGGGATGAAATTCAACTTCAATTTTGATCGGTTTTACATTAAAGTGTTGCCCTGAGTTGTACCATCTCACACTTGGTATAACAAAAGTCAAACTCCATAAAAAACACCAGTTATTGTCGTTCAAAGGTATGAGGGTGCCACTAAAACAAGTGATTATTACAGGTTCGTAGATAGGTACATTGTTCGGCTGTTTTTTTATACTTCGATGTAATAATTTGGGTCCCAACGCTTTTGTAAGACTTTAAAAGCTACCATCGCATAAACGCTTCATACACACGCTTTTAAGCTTTGATGTCATTCCCTTAACATACAGTGAGACTATATTTATTTCAAAAATATTTCTCTACACTGTCAACCCTTCTTAACACTGACTGTGCGTAGAGCCGCCAGTATGTCACCGACCTAATCCTAGTGACGCGCCGCATCGACCCGCGAATCGATGCCGCACAATCGATGCCGGCAGCTGATTCTGTTTACAACTGATAACTTCTCGATAACTGTTACAGTAACGCTCGTGGGCGGATGATAAGATAGCGAAAAGTTTTACTTTACACGTGTGAGAGATAAGGAGTTTTCTACGTGAAAACAAATATGGAAATTAAGTAGTTAAGGCTCTATAAAAATGTGAAAAGATGCAAAATTCTTTGTTTCTTTCCCCGGGAAACAAGGTGACCAAGTTTTCAGTTCGGTTATACGAGATGTAAGATAGTTGCCCGTTTTCACAAACGACGCGTGCTTATGTGAAGCAGCTAATCGAATGCACAGCGTTGAGTAGAGCTCTGTGATTGGTTCCTGTCTCACCCTTTATGGTATTGTATGGTATCTTATTTTACTAGAGGCTGATAGTTTTATAAGATTTTTAGAATATTTACGAGGAATATAATATTGACCAGCCATTTTATTATACCTACAGTTAACCTATTTAAAATTCTAACAAAAAGACCAGAGCTTTTGTAAAATGTGATTGAACTAACCTTTCGATTGCTGCTGACTTTGACTTTCATGAAAAAACCCCAAACCAGTAAATTACTGGACAAAAAAGGCTGACGATAAACTTGATGTGGTTACAATAAAGTCGAGCTGTATTCGGGAGCCGGGGTTTTATCGCCGGGTTTGATGCTTCGTCTAGTCATTTTGGACTCACGCGTATAGACTGCTAGTTATAAACTACTATGTAAAATAAATTAAAGTAGAGATAACAGCTCTACGATTGGGCGCTGCGACGTGTGCACTAGTCACTAAAACCGCGTGAAATGTCTGTCTGTAAGAATTTTGGGGCAACTAAAGTAATTAGACAATTTGATACGCATAGTTATTAAACATATTAATAACTATACTAAGACTTTTCAACTATTCACCTACACCAATCTGGAAGATGAAGTCATAGTAATGAAATCTTCTATATTCTTTAAAACCGAAAGGTCACTGACTCACTCACTCACCACGAAATCTCAGAAACTACAAGTGCTAGGAGTCTCAAATTTTGCATCGGGGTTCCTTTTAGAACGCTTGCTCACTAAGACGGGATTTTACAAAATTCAACCCCTAAGGGCGTAAAACAGGATCCACGCGTACGAAGTCGCTGGCGGCCGCTAGTTTAATATAATTCATTGGTAAAAGTGATTCGTGGGCTAGATGGAACTGCGACACATTAATATTTAATTTAACACGAGCAGTCAAGCAATTCGAAGAAATATCAAATCGATCGATGGCTGAATATCCATCTATCATTATAATGGTGAAGCTATTTACTGTAATAATTGTCTGTCCAACTACACTTACCTTAAGGGCCCTTTCCCACGGCAGCTATGAGGGATACAGTAATGCAGGACCCCGCAAAACTGGACTGTCGAGCGAATACACAAGTGTGCGTGTAAAGTTCAAATTCGATCTGAAGGGATCGGTTTTTTCAAGTTGGGATGTTCGTGTGAATGTTACGTCCGTATTCACAAACATTACTTTGAGGTCTCACAGTGCGCGTGGACGCACAGGGTCATACATGAACCAATCACAGAGCGCTATTCAACGCTGTGCGTTCGATTTTCTGCTTCACTTAAGCAAGCATCGTTTGTGAATCCTGCAAAATCTGGATGTCTCCGTGGAAAAGAGCCCTTACCTGAAGTCGGTTTCTTCAACTTTGTATCTTGTACGAATTGTTTATCTTTGGCTACAGTAAAATGTAGAGTTTGCGGACTTACCGCACCATAAGAATGTAATATTCTCTATGCAGATATAAAAGCGTAGTGCATTCTGAGAAGGAGGGTCTATTTTCCTGCAGATTTGTAGAAAAGCATTCAGAACTTTCCATGTATTTAACATTCATTCACAAACATTACTATGAGGTCTCACAGTGCGCGTGGACGCACAGGGTCACACACGAACTAATCACAGAGCTCTATTCAACACTGTGCGTTCTGTGAATATGGGCGATAGTTTCTGATGAGGAACTTTTTCAGATGCAGCATAATTTTTCCAAAGAATATTGTAATGGAAAGTGACATTTTAACTATACCTTAATAGTTAAATTGATAGTCAATAAAATTCAAAAAACATTTACATTTACCTTGTATTTTTCCATACATTTTTATTCATATTTAATTTTCATTGAAGGTGTCACCCAAATCCGAGCCTCGAATCGAGCGAATGTACATTTCGGAGAATTTCCCGAATCCGCTTACAGTTTCAATTCAAACAATTACCTTTAAACATAGTTCATATTTACAAACAACGGTTGTTTTCAATGTTACTACAGCTTTGAATTTATCGTGTTTATCAATTGTTTCAATTTAATTAAAACCTACTTCAGTTGAATAGATTTGTAATTCTTCCATGTCAACCTTTACTTATTAATTTGTCTAGTTATGGTAGTTTTTCTAGTAATTTGATCATTTTAATTTTGTACAGTAGGTACTCTGATTCGTATCTACTTTTACAATAATCAAGTTGTTTTTATGATTTAGCTTTATAAATGGAGGCATTAGTGTCGTTATGAATTGTGCCCTAAATCCTTAAACTGTTAAAATAAGACTTTCTCATTCAGAACCTTCGTAAAAAACCTCACCAGGTGAAATGAGGTCAATTGGCGGCCATAAAATAAAATCGTTTCAACCTGTAGCTTCTAAAATATTTAGGCTTTCGACATCAATAACATACCAAACTGCCAATAGCATACATTTAGCATTTGGACATAATTAATATGAGGAATGGTAGAAATTATGAAAAGGCACGCGGCATGGCGGAGTCGGCACATGGCGCCTCACCCCTCCGGTGACGTCACAGCCCCCGCGGTATCGATCGCGCCCCCACCCCCCGACCTGCAGGCGGCTGTAGGTGTTATTATGTCTGTATTTTCGGTTTCTTTTGCGTTATACTTTGGGCTGTTTAAAATGTTACAGCAAATTGTAGATTGGTAACTGTTGTCTTTTTTATAATGATTTTGATTATTACATTTTAGCACATTTTTAATCATCTTCTAAGTATAGGTCACTAACCACAACCCTGGTGTCAGTGTAAAATCATGTCTTGATCTGATATGAAATCTCATTTCATTTGCTCTTTTTTGATGTATGTTACCTTGTCGTTGATTAAATAAAAAATGTGTTTGTATGTCCCAAAAATTGGGAACAAACACACAAAGTTGTTTTACTTTAAATGGGCTCCGACTGGAAATTTAACCCAGAACCTGAAAGTCTAAAGACTTGAAATACTAGGTTTGTTAATATAATAGAGAAAAATCTAAATTCTGAACATCCAAAATGAAAATTTTCTTGAATAGAAATCGTGGTTGCTATCGCACACTGAGAAAATGATAAAATATGTGTGGATTATGTTAATAAATTCGTCCATCGACTTAAAACCTTACACCAGCATAAATCTAGAGATTAACGACATTTTACAGTGATTCTGAACCTGGTATCGGTAGCGTGACTACTTCTCTATTAACATAATCCAAGAACAAAGTAGTTGAGGTGATCTTATGAAAATACATTCTTTAAATTATCACTTTGTTTACAGCACAAAGCTTCGTAATATTCTATCTATACTGTACTTGCGTCTACTACATTTTTCGCGTTCTTGAAAATTATGGTTCTTTTCATTTTATAAAATAGCTTCTTTAGTAGGGATGTCTGATTAAGTTTGCAAGGAATTGGCTTAAAAACCACGTTTTTTTTCACTACTTACGGGTGTTCTTTTGTCATTTTTTTCTATTTGTGTTAATACCAAGCTAACATAGGCTAGCTGTAACGTTTATCAAAGTTAAATAAAGTCGTATTTAGACTCAGAAAATTCTGTACTGTAGACATAGTACTTCAACTACAGAACAGTTTTCATAAAGACAAGTAATATAAGGACTAAATTTGACAAACTGATTGAAATCTAATTTTCAGATGCGCCAAACCAGCAAACGATAAAAGGCGACAATGTAAACAACACAGCACAACAGGCTTACTGTCAGCCCCGGGAGTACCAGGGGCCACCTCAAGGGCCCCCTGTGTACACGCCGGGGCCCACCCATTGGGACCCACATGCGTATGAGCCAGCCGGGGACGTATCTTGCTTGTGAGTCCTGCCCACTTGACTTTGATCCTGGTTTCCTCCAAATACCCATTCCTGTTCTGATCAATCCTTTTTCATTGTTATCCCATCTTCATTCATTTATTTGGTGGCTAAACTATATTTTTTTGGATTATCGAAGATTCCACTTTGAATTTTGATCCTCAACTAATTATGATCTTGATGTAAATGATGACATTTATTTTTATCTTGATGACATATTATTCGTAATACTTTTCGATTTTAATCCCAAAAATTTGTGATTTTTGTTATTATTGTGGATGTGTATTGTAATAGAGACTGAAGAAGTAAGCCACCCTGATGCAATTAAAACAGTATTGATATTGAGGAGCGAAAAGGACTCAATTGAAAATAGTTCATCAGTGATATTGAGTTTTGTCACTGCTTTTTTTTTCCAAACCGTCCTTTATATCCTGAATGTCCAAAAGTTATTTCACCATCCCCAGTCCTATCCTTACCTGTGGCTGCGTAGCAGTGGACTTGGTTTCTTATAAGTATACGTATTCATAGCTTGTCGCAAAGGTAAAACTCTTATACCTATGTAAATTATTTATACGTAATATATTTTGTTTATCGCATTATATATCAATGGTTTTATTTAAACAGGTTGCTTTGTGACAAGCCTGATATTAGAAAGGAGAATGTCTGGATGGATATAATATTTTATTTTTGTATTTTTATTTATTTATTTATCGTCGATCTAATGACAGTAAATGTGTAAAATGTATAGAAATTTGCTCATATAGATGTCCGTTTATTTATTTTGGATAGGCAGTATCATTTCCGTGAGCTATGTACCTGAATTTCTAGAAAATTCTGTGGAACTACAGCGTTTAGAACTTGTTTTGAGTTTCGTTGGTGTTGGTCAAAACTGGCAAAGATACTGCCTATACAAAGGATGATTACTGTTAATGTCCTAGAGAGAGATTATTTTATAGACGTAGGTAAGTGTATTTTGTTAGCATCAAGAAGCCAAGATGAATGTTAGACTGCTACCGCTGCCCCTCCCCTCCCTTTTTGTTTTTCCCCGCGCCCGGGCTGCAATAGTTTGTTTGAAATATGATTTTATAGGTGCCTGCGAGATTCAGAACCCTTTGTTAATGTTGTTTACATTGTCGCCAGGTATGCATTTTATAATAATACGTTTGATGTTTAGTGTTACATCTGAACGCGTTGGAACAACATTGCTATCATCTTTAGAGTTCATAATATCTTTTACTAATAGCTTTTTAATAACTAGAGTTCCAAGACGTCGGATTGTTTTAGAATAATTAGTTATTAGATGATAATGTTTCAAAATTTACGTGTTATAGACTACTGAACTAATTGTGTTATTTTAGGTTTTAAATGTCTATAATCTATTAATACTAACTAGTACCTACAAGTTTATGTAATCAGTATCATTTATTACTTCTATATCATCTAAATTTGTGGGTACTACCATAGCTTTAAGTTTAGGTTTTTTTAGAAATATCTCAGTGTTTAGATTAAGTACATGTACATTTGCCTATTAATGTTTCCGAAACTATTTCTTCATATGAACTGTTTTTGAGTTACTTGTCCTAAGATATCTTGTTGTTTGTTTTTATTGTTTTTATCTCATTTCAGTGCATATGGAGATAATAATAAATGTTTAGGAGCATGTTTGTTGTCTTTAGATGTTTAAATTTTTTTGATCTTCTCTAGACTTTCTTGATGTTTCAAAATTGATACTTTCTGTACGCATAATTGCAATAGTGAAACATTTTGTAATGATTATAAACTTTATTAATTTTATATTTTCGTTTTGTTACAGCGGCCCAGATTCCTCAGAGAGGCAGTGAGTATTGTTAGCGACTTTTTTAATTTGATTATAATAATAACAAATATTTAAAACTAGCTTTTGCCCGCGGCTTCACCCGCGTGAAATTTAGTTTGTTACAGATCGTCATAAATTATAATGTTATTCTGGATTATTATTAATAATAATACTGTAAAGTTTCATCAAAATCTGTTCAGCAGTTTTTGCGTGAAAGAGTAACAAACATCCAGACATCTACACAAACTTTCGCATATATAATATTAGTAGGATTCATAGTTAGTGCTTAGATAATTGGATTTTGATCATGTAAAATCAATATCACTTTTTACTTGGACGAAATGCGTTAACAATGGGGACTACTGCTTAAGGAATACAAGCAGTAACTAAAGATCTGTTGTATGGGATTTCTTGACCAATAGTTTCAACCAGTATTCTAAAAAACCTTCGCATATTCCTTTAGACAAAAGAAGCAGTTCACACTAATTTATGAGATACCATAGGCAAGGCTAATATTAATCTAATCAAATGTTGCTTTCCCTTTAATTCCAGGCTGCAAACGCAAGGAGGACATGTCTTCGGATACCCTTCCTTCCCCGAAGAAGCCACGTTTGGTTTTCACAGACCTCCAGCGGCGTACTCTACAGGCTATTTTTAAGGTAATTATTTCCACTATAGACTATAATATTAGACTATATTGGATATTATAACAGACTATATTGGACATATCAGACTATAATTGGATATATTATGCGACAAAAAGAACAAAACGGTACTATCTTTTTAAGTGGTGTGGTCTAATAACCTTTCCATAATGCAGAATTAGTAGCTTAATTAAACTGATCACGTGTCATCACCCTCATCCATGGAAAACCCAGTCCAATTAGTAGAGCTGAGAATTAAAAAATCCCAATTCCGGAAAAGTCAGAATAGAGAGAAGCCGGCTATGAAAAGACCAGACCTTTAAAAAGTTTCAGGTTTTCCTTAACCTTAACTTTGGACTAGAACTTTGAATCACAATTAATGCGGTTTTTTTCCCATTCCAGGAAACAAAAAGGCCATCAAAAGAAATGCAGGTGACAATAGCGAGACAATTAGGTTTAGAGCCTACCACAGTTGGCAATTTCTTCATGAACGCGCGGAGACGGTCCATGGACAAGTGGAAAGACGACGACGCTCCGTCCACAGACTTGGACCATCAACTGGATGGAGGGGATCTCGATCACGTTCCAAGTCTGGACTCCGCTGATTCCGAGGAAGACCACGATGACCAGGATGACCACCTTTTGTGACGCCGTATCCCCCAGCACCACCTCATAGTCCTTTGAATGTAGTTCAAAGTCTATGACCACGGTGTTGGTTGGCATTTTATAAGGTGTGAAACCGTTCGGTTTAAGAGGGTCCGTCGCCTTCTCACTTGTATTAACACGTTGTCAGTGCTACAAGACGGTCGCGGCTTGCTTTATTGTATTTCGTTTGTGGACTGCGTAAGGGTTAAATTCAAAATGCTTGCTTTTGTGTCGGCTGCTGCAGTTTCGAAATACTGGGAATGAGGGAAGAGTTTTTTTGACTTGCTCAAAACGTTATCGCCGTTTTTGGAACGAAGGCGATCTAAAATTCTGCAGCAGCTGAAATAAGATTTCGTTAAGCTTTTTGTTTGCTTGGTCGCAACCCATTTTAACAAGGGTCTCTAACAAGGTGTCCGTAATTTTGGATCTGTCTATCCCTCTCACTCCAATGAAGATGACGGCATGAGCGACAGAGAGAGAGAGAATGTTGCAAAAATACGAAGGTATGGTTGGGATCTAAAACGCGAACGTGACAGTGGCAACATCCAATCTTTACGACAACTGCAAAAAACTTTGTGTACAGTAATAATAGTATTGTCTAAGTGCTGAGATGGCAAACTGCTGGGTTTCGCTGTGCCATAGACAAGTAATCAGAGAGAACAGTCGCTTGACGCAAATACTGTACACTTAGTCCTTAAACAAGTGGAAAGAGGTGACAGTTGAAATTTCGAAATCATTTCTCAATGTAACTACGAGTACGTGCAAAAAACGCTGGAGTGAAGGGTTTTCGAAATGACAGCTGTCACGTTTTGCTACTTGTATATACTATGGGCGCAGGACAGTTTTGTGCACGGAGAAGATTTTTTATTGGCGACGTGTCTCTGTGGTTCTTTAGTCTATGGTTTAGAGCTATGGTCAACGTTGATCTCTCAATATTAAACGTTCTAGTCAAACGTTAACAAATAGCTAATAATTAATTGTAATTGTTCTTCTGTAATTTAGAAGAATTTATTGTATTATTTCATAATAAATTGTGTTAGTGGTATAGGTGTACCAGAATCTCATGGCAAATAGGGAAAATAAACTTTGTTGAGAGCAATACTGGGGAAATTAGAATAAACAATCTTGATACTGTTTAATTTTTTACTTTTATGACTAACATGAAGTACGAATATACATTTTAGGTAGGTATGTGTGTGTATGAAGAATGTTGTTATACATCAGGTTTTTAACATAGGAAAATGTCTTGAAAATTAAATAAATCGTCTGTGAGAAAAGAAATGTCTGAGAAATTAATTATTTAAATTACCTACATATTTTCGCGTGGAACTGAAACATAGGCGGTGCCGTTCTTTTTGTATATGGCCAGGTCTGGGTTATTTAAGAAAAAGGTTACAAAATTTTACTAAGAAAGAATCTTGAGTGACCCAAAGAAAAAAATTGGAAACTTCTCCATTATTCAATCTTGCTTTATGAAATCTTTTTCAATTTTCTTTACATGGTCATAACATCTGCACCAATTTGTGAGATATACCTGAAAACCCCGATAAAGCAGCTATTAAGTAAGAATAATATAAAAAAACACAACCCTCCTTCTGACACAGTTGGGTAATAAACTAAATGTATCAAAACATTTCAGTCCAACTTACTGTCAACTTGACGACGCGCTTTAGAATCAAAGATCGACTTTGAATTATGCCTTATTTTACAATTCACATTGAAAACAATATGCCTTGCTTGAACTTTTTCGACTTTTTCACAAAAATAACAAATAGTCAAGAAGAGATTACAAAAATTTTGCAGTGGCTGACAGATTTCATAATTTTCTTTGACAGGTGACAATTAAACCATAGACAATTGCCATATGAAAAACACACTTTTCCAATATTTTTGTTTGCCATGAGATTCTGGTACACCTATACGTCACTAGATAATGTTTTGGTACTTGTACAAAGAAAAGTGTTACGTAAAATAAAATTAGTTTTAAAGAAGTTTCATCCGCAATATTATTAATAATAAATTATACACAAATATTAGAGTTAAGAACAGTATTTTATCACAGATGCATACAATTATTCATTATTAAGTATTGAAACATTATTAAGTGACGAAAAACGCTTGGATAATGAAAGTAACATAGGTAATAACAAAAACGGTTTTTCGGAAAAAAAAGTTTTTGTAGATGACTGACATGATGTGTAGAGAATTTGCAAAAGCAAAATAATTATAACTCCATCACGTATAGAAAATACGGTAACGTTCAAAAGTGATTTGACTACACGTTTGGCAGTTTCGATTGAAAAGTTTTTGGTTCGATTCTGGTGGAAAATATTATTACTTACACCTACATAATATTATTAAAAAAAAGATGAAACGCAAATGGTTATTATGATTATCATCAATGAAAATGATATTTTTGCAAAAAAATGTCCTACATATTTTATTCATCAACACTAAAAAAAAATTTATGTCAATTGAAGTTCCACAAACCAAATTCTTGTCAAATCACTTTTGGATGGTCACACTGTAATATTTCCCATATAAAAGCTGTAAATTAATATAATAATGGTGAAGCAATCAACTAGTCTAACTCTAAATGTTCTTTAGCTGAAATATCCGATGAAATCGGGTGAGGATCGTATTAGTACAGTCAGATAGAAAATAGTCTAGCAAATAAAAAATCCAGTTGTAATATTAATTATCCTGCTTTCGCCTCCGAGATTTATTTTACCGTGTAGTACCCCTGTACGACAACCCAATCCGCACACAATATTCAGCGTAGTAGTAGTAAAAAACAAAAGAGCGGGCAACCCCACCCCTACCACGCTGTGGGCTCGGTGTCCGAGCGGTCTCATTCCTTTGTGCGCACGCGCAACGACCGCACGCAGTATAAGAAAAATGCTTAAGTGACGTCACCAGGACGTTTTTACCGACAAAAAACGTAATTATTTTAAGTTGTGCAGTGTAGTGACGAGAATTAGACCCAACACAAGGTTGGTTGTAACAACTATTTTGTGTAAGTGCTCATACATTTTTATTATAAGCGTTGTGACACGACGCGTAACTTTGACCCATTTTTAGCTCCAAGTTAACGCGCGATGTTAACCAGTAGCCATTTTTTNGGGTTGCCCGCTCTTTTGTTTTTTACTACTACTACGCTGAATATTGTGTGCGGATTGGGTTGTCGTACAGGGGTACTACACGGTAAAATAAATCTCTTCGGCGAAAACAGGATAATTCAGATCGAACTTCACTTGGTAAGTTCGTTTGATCATCCAACAATATTTTTTGACTGTGCAATAGATCGAAAATAGTGAAATACATTCCATTTTATTGATTGAGTCTGACTAGAAGAGCCTTCTAGTTTTTTGTTTGTTTAGATGTTTGTATTTATATCAGTAGGCAATGTTGGGAGAAGTTTAATATCATGCAATGCAATTATGATAGGCGTGATTGGATTGAGAGAATGTAGCATGTATAAAATGTGTCAGTTTATACGGTTACTTTAAATTTGTTACAGTTACCGTAAAAAAACATACCTATTAATTGTTTATTTTACTCAAGTCAATACTTAAATTTGAAACGTCTTTTTTCATTTGTTACCATCTTCTCTGTGAAGCTGACATTATAATTTAGAATGTTTTGTCTACATAAGTATGTGGATTTTTTTTTAAAACGGATCACGTTACATAAATCCAAAATTAAAATTCAAAAATACAGCAAGAGCATGTAAAGTTTTAATAATTAGACGTAAAGTTAATTTAAGTGCTTATTAGCCATTCAAGATCAATTAAAATTTATTTAAATGCAGCTTCGCAACTATAGAATAATGAAAATGGTGAAATGAAAGATAAAACATGACAATCATGTAGTCAAAACAGTCGTCTTTATAAAAAAATAATACATTACCTAATGTTTAAATGTCTGAGCAACATTATCTATTTATAAATTATGTTTAAATGTATGTCTGAGCAAATTCTAGTCTTTGGGAAGTCATAGTTATTTAATTTATTTATCTTTAACAAGGTTAAGTTAGAAAATAATTAATAGATAGGTTTTGTTGCTTGTATTATAAAAAATACAGTATCTGCACTGGAATACGATCTTATTTTAGTAGCGAATGGCTAAATTAAAAAATTGCTTAATAAGCTCTACAGTAGTACAATTTCTGTCTTCTTGAACTGAAAAATAGTAAAAATTGTAAAACTACAAAATATTTGGGCAATAATTATACCTTAAAAGCACGTATGAATAGGCATCTGTATCTATTCCATCATTTGTAGTTTCTAAACAAAAGCAAGGCTATGATTACTGTCAAAATATATTATTATTTACTTAGCGAATAAAAGACAAAAATGGTAGATCAGAATCCTTTTAAGTAAGAGAAACGCTGCTTATGTAGGTGGTGTTTATCATACCAACGGTATTCTAGTGATGATTATTACCTACTGGACAATTACCTACTTACCTATCTCGAATAAATGTAGGTATGTAGATGGTATTCTACAGCTAATTCTGGCTCATAGTATTCTAAATCGAGACTCAGAACTCCATTAGAACTTAAAAATAGATTAAAGCCTGTGATTTTTTAATTAAACTAAGCACAGGTTTGTATCTATTATTGGGTTTCGATTTGAGTTTTATTAAGCGGAGTTATGTTTTTTTTTATCGTCTAGAGTCTAGAATGACATTTAAAACATTACGACTGAAGTTGTTAATTGTTTTTTTAAGCAAGTACTTATCTAGCATTAAGTATTTCAATTTGTTACCGGCTTATACAGCGTTTAGCTTTGTCCCACCATTATTTTTATTTTTGCCGTCTCAATTTTTTACAATTTTGTATTGGTTGAGACTAATATTTATAATAATAATATATTTTAAAAGTCAACATATATTTTTAGTTAAAAAAATAGTATTGCTGTAGCTTTAAAACGGAAATATGCATGGCGTTTATTTATTTTTTCTTTGAACTGTATAATTTTTTAATATGACTTATAGCTAGTAATTTTTTTCATAATAATTATAAGTAAAAGTCATTTGTTTTAAGAGAAACTGTAAGTTAAGAATTATTTATTTATTTCCTTTAAAATGCTAGTCTTCATTGTTTAAATATCACCAAAGAATATGGAAATGTGCAATTTTCAATTAAAATAAGTTTAATAAAAGAAAAAGATCATCTTAACCACTTCAATTTGAAATAATATTAATATTTTGTGAAGTTAAAAACAATTATGTAAGTATGTACTTAATTAAGTTTTTAAGTATTAATTCGGAATTTTAAGTACTTATTACGTTTCACGTGCATCATGTTTTATAAAAAAATTAGAATAATAAACATAAGAATATTAATTAATTTGCATTCAATTTACATTCCACTAATTAAGAGAATGTTAACATTACTATCACATTCAAAATAACTATATTTTTACATAACAATATTCAAAATATCACCAGTTCAATGTCAGTATTCAATAAAAAAATTGCGCACAACAAAAATGTAAAATGTAACACTTTCCCCCCCGACTGTACTTTACTCGTGTGCCCGACTCAGTAGTGTTACACATTATTTTTGTGAATGTATAGCGCGCTTACAGTGTACATAGTACGTGAATATGTAATGTAAGATTAAATGTACATTTTACAAAGAGATCGGATTATTTTATTTGTCAACAATGGATAAACAAGCTAACAAAACAAGATGGCGCTTAAAAATGGCGCTATTGTAACTTTAATGCTCATAAAACTTCTATTATTTTTTTATCCCTACTTTATCACTTCTTAATATAGCCATTACTACAATTGTATTTTAGTCCTCCAATTTTATAACTAAGTATGTAAAGATCGTCTTTAGTCGTTAAATCCTTAACATTTGGTAGGCACTAGGCTGGGTTGCGCCATCTTACTTTTACTTTAACAAACGTCAAAAATCTGTCAACCTCCATACAAAACCAACCGGTTATCGTTATAGTTGCTGTTAAAATTAGGTGGTGCAACTCAGCCTTATATTTTGCGAGATTCAGTGGGCTAATTCAAATGCATTTGTCGAGAGTAGAAATCGTCTGTCAAATAATTTTCTAGTAATCAATTTTGAACTGATTGTCAAGGTAATACAGTTGAAAATTGAATATCAAAGCCAGACTAGCGCCTAATGTCATTCAGCCGATGGTAGATGCCAAATTTCCAATATCGCGTACGAAGACGGAGAACTTTGTCAATATAGTGGTACATAAGGGTCATAATTAGTGGATGCCGACGATTTTCGCGCTGTCATCTCAACGACTGCCCACCCTTGTCGTTAGATCAGTCGACTGGCAGGTCTACCCCTGTCTACCCTCAATTAATAAAATTCAAAGAGACACTATCAATACTAAATGATTCAAGTAACATCAAAGGAATCCAGTGCTTTAAATACGCCCGTATTCACAAACATTACTATCAGGTCTCACAGTGCGCGTGGAAATAGGGAAATAGTTACTAGTTAAATGGTTTAAGTTACTTCGTCTTCGCTACGATGCTAAAATTAAATTCCATTGCACTGTATTTATTTGAATTCCTTTCACTCAGAGATTCGCTGCTCAAGATTGCGATGCTGACTAAGAAATTCTTCAGAAAAACGGAGTTTTATGAAACTAAGAGTAGGCGCACACCGTTGATTTTTCGTCGGCCGATAGTTCAGTCGAGCAGTTAGTTGATCAGTATGGGCATGTATGGGAGTGCGCACTCTACGCCGATTCGATTTGGCCGATTCTTCATACAAATTAAAATCGGGCACAACTATCGGCCAACTAAAAATCAACGGTGTGCGCCTACTCTAAATGTTACTAAGTAAGCCAAGTGTAGATTATAATAGAACACTAGCTTCTGCCCGTGACCTCGCCTGTGTTTATTTATTTATTTTATAGAAACCAACAGCGATACATTCAATTAGTCAGAAATCGTTAAAGTTCTGATTTAAACATTAAACCTACTGTCTTAAGCTTTCATCAAAATCCGTTAAGTAATGCGATCGTGAGATCCTGTGCCTATTGCAGTGGGATAGATAGGATCTGCTACTATTAATTTAAATAGGTGGATATTTGAACAGAATCTAAATAAATTGCGAAAAATCTGAACTTTTTAGTTTAGTAACATAACCGATAAAACTTATTCACTATCTTCGTCCATTGTCTCATCTACTGCCTGTAGCACCTTCCTCTTGAAAGTCCTTCTTTGTCTATCATTCATTTTGTTCATATCAGGCAAAACGCTCAGCAAAAACATTTTATTAAACTTGTGTTCACCATTTTCAGAGTTTTCAAACATTCTAGATTGTTTTAGTTTGAAATAAGAGGCGATGACATCTTCAAATACTGTTTCTTCGCATTTTTTTCGCTGTTTCTTTGGAATTTGGGTCTCTGGGTCATAAACAGTAGCGGCGTATAAAGATTGCTCGATTGACGGTGAAGGTGCGGGCGATAGTTGAACTTCTATTGAAGATTGTAGCTGTAATTCCTGATCATCCAATGGAATCTCATCCTCCAATTTCATATTTGGTTTGATTTTTTTATCCGACCCAGGTATTTTTATGAAGGGTATGGCAAACTGCATGAACTCGGCTAGGTAATACGGCCTTCTTCGCACTGAGGCATCTTTGTCCGTCCTTAGATGGCGTGCGAAGACCCCGCGAAGATTCTTCCATCGGTCCTTGCAATCTTGTACTGAAATAAAATAATCAATAATTAGTAAAACTTTATACTAATAGTGGAATTGATTAAAAACGTCGCGTTTAGACCCGTGATTCTCTATTCTAATCAATAAGCGTCTTATTCATTACTTGGAGCTGATTTTAGCGCGAACTTTTTCGAAACGCGCGGGCTCACGCGCTCATCTTTGATTTTGCTAACAGCGCTGCTGCTTAATTTTTACCAAAGTCAATCTAAAGGACAGCTCGCCAAAGGCCACCGTTTTAGCTATAAATACCTACCAAGTAAGGAAAAAACAATTTGTGGAAAAATACTTATTTATGGTGTAATTAAAAAAAGTTTGTTATGTAGTACAGCGCGCAGTGAAAATTACGCCAGTCTGACTGCAGCCTTAGTTTAGTAAGTAACGGAACAATAACACAACAAACCTGTGATTCGAAACTTCTTCCCGATATCGTACCAAGTTTTCTCAGTGATATCTCTCCTCGCATAATCTGGCATTCTAAAATTCCATAGGCACGGATGTTTCTCTATTTCCTGCACGAATCTAATGTTGAACTCTTGATCCATGGCGACCATTTTTGTCCTCAATCAACGGGGCCGCAGCGCAATGTAAACGAGTAAGCGACGCGGCGACTGTCGCGGTACTGGTGCAACAAAGATGGCCGACGCGGCGGAACGGCGACGTGACGCCAGCGCGAGACGGACTAGGGCTGAGCCTCGCGACAGTAGCGTCGCCATCGGGACGGAATAGCGTTACTGACGTATGACTGAGTTACTTGCGTTGCTTCTTCTCAGCACTGGCCCATTTATTGTCTCGACTCGAAGCAGTGGTAGGGTTAATAGACTGGGACATGTAAAAGTGCTTTTTAAAAGCCTACTTGCAAAAATAAATGAGTTTTAAGAGAGTTTTTATGATGTGATGCTGGACTTAACTAGAAACTTATGAACGCTTCTGTTCGGGTTTCGAAGTTCGACTGACTCAATAAGTTTTGGTAGGTAACATCAGCTTTTTTTTCAGAAGCCTAAGAGGCAAGCAGACGGTTCACCTGATGGTGGTAACTTAATTACGGCCGCCCATAGACACCCGCAGCCCCGGGGGACTTACAGGTGCTGCAAGAATCAGCCTAAATAATTGAAGGCAAAATCAAAGACAAACTGTTCATGCAAAATAACTTTTTCTCTTGGCCAAACACAAGCTGTGAGAGCCGTAAAGAAGAATAAAAAAGTTTACAGTCTGACATGACATTGACATTGATGACTTTTGCTGTCACTGTCAGTCAGGCAAGACTGTTTGTGTTGTGCATCAAAAATAATTTTAACATTCTAGTTTACCGATTGGTTTACCGTAATAAATTAAGATTAGTTTTATAGATATCAATAACAACTAAATGTGGCAGTCTTGGAAAAAACCACGGTAAGATTATTACAGTAATAACGTACTTTTGGAACTTCGTTTTAATTTTAGTAACTTTCTTCAACCTTAAGTTGGTTAATGTTACTTTATCTTCAAAAAAATAATAAAATAGTCACTTTTGTTACGATTTCTAATAAGATCTAGAGATATTGATGATCTCTAACACAAGATGATACAAACTAACCTAACTGGTTGCTTGTAAATTAATAACTTTAAACAGGTTGGAACACAAAGATGTAAGTAATGTTCTCTGATAATATTGTTTCAGAAAGACGACGAGGGAGAGCGAGGGAGTACCAATAATGTAACAAGCCATAGAACAAAAGACAGTGGAAGAACAGTGGTAAGTAATAGTACCTAGGGTGATTGCTATAGTAATTGGCCTGTACATAGCTATTGGCCACCTTGGCTAAAATAAAAATAAACAAGCATATGTACGTTATTAATAGTGGAAAAGAGACACAAATACTTTCTCTGAGCAATACGCTGTCCAATGTAGTATGTCAGAGTAAGAACAGATGGCACTCTAAACAGCAGAAGCTTTCTTTCGACAACGAGTCGTCCGAGTAGCCGCATGCTTGTCAAAATTTTAAGGTAAATATTTATGAAATTTGTTCGTAATTTAATTGTTTTTGCTTGTTATAGTAATTTTACTGTTTTTTTTTGTAAAGAGATAAATGGTAGCTTATGTAAATAGATTAAGTTACTTTGTTTTGGAATAGAATAACTTTAAAATTATACCGGCCAATAACTATACCACGTTTTAAATTTATTTCAGTTATTGGCCATAGGTGGCCAATAATTAAATTTTACTTTTATTGTATTTTTATTCAAGATTAAGTTAATTTAACCCTTTAATATTTGCTATTAAAATACTAACGTCCTAACCTATTAGGATCAGTAATTAGCCGGGGGGCCAATTACTGACACTTATGCACGGCCAATAACTATTTTTATTGATTTGTGGAGGACTTTCTACGGATTCCCCCAGAGCCAACTCGAAAAGGGAAGAGAAATATATCGCGATTACCGTTTCACATATCAGGCCAGAATATCAGAGGATTCTGGAAGAAAAAGCTTAAGAAAAAGAAATCCTCGAGAAAGAAAAAAGGGAACGGAAAATTGAAAGAGAATAAAAAAGAGAGCACAGAAAACAAAAAGCTGAAGAAAAGAAATCTGCTAAAATAAAAAAAGTAAGAATAATGTATCTGTATCAAAACAATAATAAATCTGTAATATTTGCAAAAAGCTCATAAAAAATAGACTTTTAGTATGCTCTGAATGTCACCGTGTCTTTCATAAATCTTGTGCAACAGCATAAATTACTGAAGAAGAAGGAGACAGTTATCTTTGTTACAATTGTTACAATGTTACTGAATGTACTGACGATGATGAGATAGATGAAGAAATCGATAAGAGTGATACTGATGACGAATTCTTAGCTAATCTTAAGGAAAGACAAAATGAGTTAGGATTATAAAGTGTGAAGTTTCAGTCATTTTTATGGGTTTTTTTCGGTGGCTAATAACTGTACTTCTAGGAGCCAATTACTGTGTTTTTGGGGCCAATAGCTAAATTTAATGTGATCTCTGATATTTTTAAAATTATTATTGTAATTCTTATCGTATGACACCAAATAGGTACTAGCTTAAATAGCAGCAATATTGTTTTCTCATAATAAAATATAAAAAGTAAACAAAAGTCGAGTTTTTGTTACATTTTACACAAGTTAACTTACACAACGCTCTTAAAGGGCCAATAACTGTAGCAATCACCCTACTTACCAAATGAAATTAAATGGTCTTCAATTTAAAACTCATTGTTAGTACTGTTTCAATGCAATACTAGAATACTTAGTTTAGGTAATGGAAAATATAATTTTATACATAGTGATATTGTTTTTATATTATTACATACTTGTAAGCTTATTATTTGGTAAATAAATGAGTATTAAAAATATATTTTATGATTTTATTGTTAGGTACCCTGTTGGATTAGACCTGGTTAGATACCCTGGAGGATTATCTGTTTGCCCGAGGCAGGAAAGTTGAATTTTTACTTAGGCTGGGTTGCACAATCTTATTTTAACTTTGACAAATGTCAAAAATCTGTCAAACTCCATACAAAAAACACCGGGTTATGTTACACTCACGGTTAAAGTTAGGTGGTGCAACTCAGCCTTAATGATTATCAAAAACTGAACCTATTTATTACCTAATCACTTGTACACACACTACACTTCTCAACTAGCATACTATTTGCTAAAAAAATCTTAATTTACAGGTAATTGAAAACTGATTGGCTAAAACTATGCAAGTTTTTTGAAGAAGTTGTCATGGGAGTATAGTTAAATACTCAGCAATGCCTGGTAAATAAAATTTTCTTTATTATTATGTAGGCCCAAGTATACAGGGTGGAATTTTGTAATGCCACCTGAAGGGAAAGTACTCTTAATACTGTGGATAGAAAACTTTTTCAAAGAAAACATTCCTTTATTTTTTTAAAGGAAATAGAACTGAATTCAAAGATTTCCAAAAATGTACTTGCTACACCCGGGAATCAAACCAACTAAAAAATTATAAAAATTAATAAGGATGAAATCTCTCAAACAAACTTAATAAATCAAATGAAAGGAAAACCATGAAATCATAAATTATTGTAATTATTTATAGAAAAATGTATGGTATGGTGGTAAATTTTCGAAAATATTTGATTGCAGTTCTTTCTTTTCAAAAATAAAGAAATGTTTTCTTTGAGTAAAATTTTCTATCTACAGTATAAAGGGTACTAATATTATTAAGGTGGCATTGCAAAATTCCACTCTGTATTAATAGCTAGCTCTACAATCACACACACACACACTAAAATAGGACAACATAAATATAGGCGCTGGTGGTGAGAGTTGGTGGCTGAAACTCAGTTACCTTTCTCTTATGTATTACAGAAAATACCATCTACCTACAGGATAAGTGCGAAGTACTTGGCAGGTAAAGTCCATGTACTCTAGTCATTCACTTAATAGGCTCCTTTTTCCAAGGATATTATTTGAATTAAGAATTGGCAGTTTTAAAAGATATTGTGGTAGGTACCATAACAAACTTTTTATTAAAATCATAAGTAATGACTGCCCTTTTCAAAACTCCAAAAAAGCATAGATTTTTTTGGGTAAGAAACCTAGACAAAGATCGAATCTACGGACTCAGGCATAGTAGTCCCGTACTTACGCAAACCAGTGGTCCAGGCGGTCGTCCAGTAAATTAAAATACATATTATTTGATATCAGGGTTTTAAAAACCCAAACGATAAAAAGGGGGTTATTAAGAAATACGCAGTTCTGGTAATGCCATAGATACAGGCGAAAAACACACGGAAACGTCTTCCTGTAACAGATCGGAACGCGGGCGAAGTCGCGGGCAAAAGCTAGTGGTCCATAAATTATCACGTGTTCCGTATGCAAATGTGACCACCCAACTAATCCTTCGCTAAAGGCGGGCTTAAGGCTGAGTGTATTGGATGCCGGTGTTGACAAATTAAGCCGTGACGGCTTTTAGGTTAGCGCGGTCTTGTGGTTGAATTCAAGCTTCGTTGGAGGTCTTGGGTTCGATTACCCAAGGTGTCACAGTGTCGCTTGATATGTTGTACTTGTACAAAGAAGTCTTCTTCATTTTCGTGTAGATAAAGTACTGGGGTCCTGGGTATAAAAAAATTGTAAGAGTTTGAACTGAACCAAAGAAAACTTTTACTCATATTATAACTTCGATTTAGTAAGAAGATTTTATTCGGCTAGTTTTTTAAAATTTCCCATTTCAACTGGTTATGGGCAATAAATTCCTTATGTAGGTTCGTACTGCTACGTCAGCTTGACTTCAGCTAAAAAGCATCATCATCATCCATGCATCAGGTTATTTAGTCTTAATTGCAGGAGCACGACCCTGTCTAATTTACCAAAGGCAAATGTAGGATTTGGCATACACTCCCCACGTCAGGCAAGACGAGTTGGGGATTTGATGTTCGCATATTTGTTCCTAGTCGACTTTTAAGATATCCAAGGAAAGAGTGAGTGGGCCAATTCTAGTCTGCTGGAACCATACTATCCGTAAACGAACTAAAGTCGCTGACATAGCCCGACGGATTAGCAAGCTGAAAGCCGCGTACCGGAAAACGCAGCGTGGGACGTCCACCTACAAGGTGGACCGACGACATCGTAAAGGTAGCGGGGAAGCGCTGGACGCAGGCCGCTACCAATTGATCAACATGGAAAGCATTGGGGGAGGCCCATGTTCAGCAGTGGACGTCCTATGGCTGAAATAATGATGATGATGGAACCATACGTCTGCTCTGAATCTTCAATTCACGTAGTTACCTAGAATAGTTGAAAATGCAAACGAATTTAGTTGAAAATCTATGGAGGCTTGGTGCTATTGATTGCTAATTTTGTAAAACAATAAGCTTAGTAAAATACCGACAAGCTAGTTCGCGTGCCTGAACACATTTCGACTGTACTTATACAATTTAATGAGTACAGTGGGCCCTAATATTGGGATTAGGCAACATTCTTAAAGTTATTTATTGTGGCAACCCCGAGCTATGGGTTTTGGCACGAGATCCTGCGGTCACACTGCGTTGTGTTGGTATTAAGTTGTTTATCAAACGCTATTTCGTTTACTTGGATGATGTGTTTTTCTATACTTACGAGCAAAAGTATGGAATCACCCCTTTGTGTTCTTAAGATCTTAAGAACTGAATGACTATGTATTGTATGTATCTATGGTATCAATTTTAAGTTTATAATATCTCCTTTATTAAATGGTACCATTTTTATTGATTTCTATTAGTCATTTAGTTCTTATGATCGCTCGGAATAAATAGGGTGATTCCATATATTTACTCGCGAGTGTAGTTGGTTTAAAAACCAAACTACGTAACCGATTTAATGAATTGCGTCGGGTGCTCTATGCCTATAGGTATATAGTTTGCCTAATGCCCGTTTTCACCATCAATCCCTAATTTTTAGGTGACCCCTATGGTAACAAATAACAGGAATTTTGTTTACATAGGGGTCACTCAAAAATTAGGGAATGATGGTGAAAAGGGGCATAATACATTTTCTTAATAAAAATATTCATCAGTATGAACTCTGAAGTAACAAACGCAACGCCCTGGGCAGAAGAAGCTAGTGATTATTGAAGATGGAAATTAATGTTCAGGGTCTCTGCCTTTAATAATTTCTTTATTACAAAAGTATCTACTCTCTCTATCACTTTTACCCAAGCTACCAACCAAGGTTGTGGGAGTGAGAGAGCAATATTACACTAGAGTGACTAGAATAAGTATCCTACTAATATTATAAATGCGAAAGTTTGTGTGGATGTCTGGATGTTTGTTACTCTTTCACGCAAAACTACTGAACGGATTTTGTTGAAACTTTACATTATTAATTAACATATAGGCTATAATTTATGACGATATGATGTGACAAATAAATTTCAATAAATAAATAAGACGAGGCTAAAAAGCGCAATCTATCGTCATTGGTTAAAATGTACAGCGCTGGACAAACTACTTTTTTTGACGTTTGTAAATATTCATGCGGGGGAAGCCGTGAAACGCCATCTATCAACATGATGTCTATAATAACAACAGATTTTACAAAATAAGGGTGTAAAACGAGGTCCACGCTTACGAAGTCGCGGGCGGTCGCTAGTAAATTGTAAAGTTTACAGAATTAGATCTCAAGTTCCGACATCGGTCTTAAGTTCGATAAATCTTAATCAAAGCCGCTAATCCGGGATTAAATTCCAGGCTTTAGTGGACCGGAGCTGTAGACTGGGAGAGCAGGTATTGTGGCTATTTAGTGACAAGTTTACGTGAAAATCGGGAGCTTAATGTTATACTATAGTCTGGTCCGTGAGCACGTAGAATTTTGTCCAATGATTTTTTGCGTAATTATGTTGCTATCGCGCTCGCACACTCACTTCGGGTGCCAGTCGCACAGTCGCACATTCGGGTCATTGGACAAAATTCTACGTGCTCACGGACCAGACTATAGTTGAAGCAATTGGGATGTAGGTCTGCTCTTAGGTATTACGAATTTTAAAATTACTCTATAGCAACGTTACCCCACTGCTGGGATGAGGCTTGTGCCCTGCAGTGGGACGTAGCAATACAGGATTAGGTAATTCGTTTTTAGAGCTGAACAATGTAGCATTTTGAAAATTATAAACAACAATCGAACTGCCTTATGCGGGAATTTAACCCAGTTCGATTTTTTCAACTTAATAATTTTCAAATTAGTTTGAGATGCAATTCTTAACGCTAAAAAACTAACATACAAATAGTCTGAAAACGGCACAAAGTAGTCTGAAAACCTCACGCAAGTAGGTAGTGTACAAGGTAACATGCCCATAAATGTTGTTCAAATCAAATCAAATTTCTTTATTTGCGTAATTTCAGGTACCTACACGCATAGGTATTTTGTCTATGGTTTGGGAAAAGAAAAACTTAGTAATTTAATATTCTACGTCGGCAAATGCATCGGAAAAAGCTCATAAAGCTAAAATCTGCTCTAAAATGTAATTTACATCAAAACGCCGCGTTCCCAGCGGGATTTCTGCATAAATCAATCAAATTATAACGTGATAAAATCATTTAAATTCCCTCGTTGGCACAGTCGGGGAGTTGAGCATCGCTGGAGGGTAGGATTAAATTTATTTCGAGATAGGAAAATTGCTAAAGCACTGATTCTAGTTTAAAACACTAGTAGGTACCTATACTTGATGTAAAGTAATAGACCACACTGTTTGTCAAGTAGGCTCTGCGTAATATACCTACTTACCTAAGTACTGACTGACATACATCACACAATCTATAAATTAGGTAAGTATGTACTTAAGTTACTTACCTATTTAGAAATAATCTATCTCGAGAATACATCATCATCATGTGAAGGCCACGAAGTATCGGAAAGCGTAGCGTAGGACGTCCACTCTCAAGGTGGACCGACGACCTCGTAAAGGTAGGAAGGCGCTGGATGCAGGCCGCAGGTCATTGGGGAGACAAGTGTTCAGCAGTGCACGTCCTAAGTCCTAAGGTGATGAGACATCACGCACGCAAAATTTATCTCAAGAGGTGACTACGGATCACAATAATTAGGCGGGTCTTCCAACCAATCCGGTGAACCGACGATCTGGTGAAGGTCGCGGAAGCGCCTGGATGCAGGCAGCGCAGGACCATTTGTAGAAATCCTTAGGGGAAGTTTTTGTCCAGCTGTGACAAAAAATTGTATAATTATGAAAAGGGAAGATGTAAAAGTAAAATAATTGGTATCCTTCCGTTTGGCCAAATTACTTTTCGCCAAATTTCACTTCGCAAACAACTTATCGCCAAAGTTTCATTTCCCAAATCAACTTTTAGCAACTGTACTTTTCGCAACTAATTCATTTGGTCAAATTATCATTTGGGCAAATTTTACTTGGCAAACGTTTATATAGCAAATGTTTTATGTTGCCAAATATTATATCCCAAATAATTTGTTTGGCCAAATTGACACTTCACATACTTACCCACCGTTACCCACAAATCAAAGTATAAGGCACATGATCATGGTTTTCACAAGAATTTTATGTAAAACATTGCAGGAAATAGTATGGTTGCAAAAAGTAGGTATTACAGAAAAAAGTAGGTTAGGTTAGGTTAGAACAGTGACCCTTAAAATGCGCGAAGGCGAGCGAAGCGTGCCGCGGCAGCGGCCGCCGAGCGCTAGAATCACCTCTATTGTTAATGAATCGTTTGGAAATTTCGATAAAAAGAATGAAATAAGGAAATTAATGTAGAACAAATTTTATATTAACTACCCACTAAACAAAATAATAACCACAAGCTAATTTGTTATCCATTCTATGCACCAATCAAATTATTTTGTAAATAGTTTATCGTGAAATATTTTTGCCTAATGAAACATTTGGCAAACCATACTTTGCCAAACAATAATTTGCTAAACAATAATATGCCAAAAACAACATTTGCGAATTAAAAGTTTGCAATAAGTTGCTTTGCCAAATGAGAATTTGCCAAATGAAAATTTGCGAAACGTTGTTTGCGATGTGATAATTTGGGAAACGTTTTTTGGCCAAACATTAGTAATCCAAAATAATTAGGTAAGTAAGTAAGAGTACCGCTACCAATCGATCAACATGGAAAGCATTGGGGGAGGCCTATGTTCAGCAGTGGACATCCTATGGCTGAAATGATGATGATGATGATGATGATGAAGTAAGAGTAATCGCAAATTGTTTCTTTTACAAGTTCAAATAGAAGTGAATTAATTTCACAGTCAATCGTTTTAACGTAGCTTACGTAGCCACTGAAGTTTTGGCTCTACGTGCCAAGTTACATATACAATGGCTACAATCTTACCAACTTTCTTTAAACTTTACCAAAACTTGGCAGTATTGGAGCCACTGGTCCATATCTCAGTTCAGTTGTCAGCAAAATCGACAATAAGCTATTTTCACAACATTAACATCTATACTAATATTATAAATGCAAAAGTAAGTAACTCTGTCTGTCTGTCTGTATGTCTATCTCTCTTTCACGCCTAAACCACTGAACCGATTTTGATGAAATTTGGCATAGAGATAGTTTGAGTCCCGGGAAAGGACATAGGATAGTTTTTATCCCGGTTTTTGAAACAGGGACGCGCGCGATAAAGTTTTTCTGTGACAGACAAAATTCCACGCGGGCGAAGCCGCGGGCGGAAAGCTAGTTAACAATAAGCCTTAGACTTAGCTATTTAGAATTTTATTTAGGTACTATTCAAACACAAGGAAAAAATATTTTGGGAAGTCTCTGTTTTAATAACAATTCATTTTACGTAAAAATTGTGTCAGAGTGTGGGCCGGAAGACGTAGCGTAGGCAGGCCTCCTACTAGGTGGATCGACGATCTGGTGAAGGTCGCGGGAAGAACCTGGATGCGGGCAGCACAGGACCGGTCGTTACGGAAAGCCTTGGGGTAGCCCTTTGTCCAGCAGTGGACTCCATTTGGCTGAAACGAAAGAACGAACGAAAACATTGTGTGTGTTGGCTGAAACGAAAGAACGAACGAAAAAAGTAAGTTAATGTATTAAGTAGGTAGTAGCTAGGTGTGGTACACAATTTTTAATTTTTTTTTGATGCAATTATTTATTTAATTTGTATTTTGAATCAATTTCTTATTTTTTTCCGAAGAACTGAAAGGTTATTTTAGAAACTTCTATCAGTTAGGTACGTACCTATTTCACCAAATCTTAGTTAAAATAATTCATATTTAAACCAGAGTACAAGACAAGTAGCAAATAAATAAGGAAAAGTTTACAGTCAAAGATGACCCATGCGCAACCGCCAATGCATTTCTGCCTAACGCCATCTCGCCTCTGAGCGCTAGTAATTAACACTACTTCTTTCGCCCGGCCTATTTACCCGGCGCCAAACCCGTAAAGTCTGTTAAAAAAATAAGAGCCGCCCCAGGCCTCATTCAGGCCTTCCACTTCCTGAAGACAAAAGCCTTTTAAAACTCTTTGGGAGCAGTGAAAAATATACGTAAGGTCACTAGAGCTTAAAGGCGTGCGAGAGAGATCGGCAGCTAGTGACGTGTATAAGAGCGAGCAGGATGGGTGTATGAAAATCAATTTATTAGGTAGTGACGTCACAAGACGCGCACGCGTAGTCGCCGGTTTCCCGGGATAGGGTTGCTGGTGGAGGGGAAAATTACTCGATTGTTGGGAGTTTTTGGTGCCCGGGGAAATGTGTTTTTTTTTGTCTAAAATAAAATTTGTCTTCCGAAGTATCTGAACATAAAATAATAAGATATGTTATCTAATTGAAGGAACTCGCCTCATATTTTTTTAAAGCGAGTTATCAAATCATTGAGGATAAAACTACCTGCCTAAAGTATTGACTATAAAATATTGTATTAATTATATTTTATTTCCCTTTTTACAATTTCTCTCTTTTTCAAGTTACCGTCGTATTTCAAGATACAAATAAGTAATTTTTAGGAGCCTTCTAACTAAACATACATTTTATCAGAATCAATTAAAATATTGAAATAGGAAACATTTTAAGAAAAGGTAAGTGTTTTATATTATCGTCTCTCTTGCAGTTAAAATAATGCTACCGTTTCAGTATTATGGTTAAATTAAATTAAATGAAATTAAACATACATTTTATTAGCCACAACAATTACAAATTCGTTGCAATATTAATCACATTGCATCAAAGTAAATTATTCAACACAATGTATTAATAACATCGGTAAGATAGAAACTATTACTGGCAACCCCACCGTCTGGGCGCCAGAAATAACGGCACGCGGGCCAGTACGAGCGGCGACGGCCCCGCTAACACTCGCGATGGCGTCGGTAGCCGCGTGGCTGCCGTTCGCCAGAGCCGCGGCCATCGGGTGGGTCCCCATCGCCACCCACCCGCTACCGCCCCCACCCGTCCCCAAAGACAGACGCCGCGCTGAAGACGAAAAACTCCTCATCAACGTCTCCGGACGAAGATTCGAAACATGGCGGAACACCCTCGAAAAATACCCCGACTCGCTACTAGGTTCCACCGAGCGCGAGTTCTTCTACGATGAAGACAGTCGCGAGTACTTCTTCGACAGGGATCCCGATATCTTTAGGCACATACTCAATTATTATAGAACGGGGAAACTGCATTACCCCAAACACGAGTGCTTGACTGGGTACGACGAGGAGTTGGCGTTCTTCGGTATCCTCCCAGATGTTATTGGGGACTGTTGTTATGAGGACTACAGGGATAGGAAAAGGGAGAATGCGGAGAGACTTATGGATGACAAGCTCAGCGAGGCGGGAGACCAAAGCTTGCCCCAGCTGACGGATCTGCGGCAGAAGATGTGGCGGGCGTTCGAGAACCCCCACACGTCGACTGCCGCCTTAGTATTTTATTATGTGACTGGATTTTTCATTGCCGTTTCTGTGATGGCCAATGTGGTGGAGACGGTTCCGTGCGGGCACAGGCCGGGTCGGGCGGGGACCCTGCCGTGTGGTGAGCGGTACAAAATCGTGTTCTTCTGCCTTGACACGGCTTGCGTGATGATATTCACGGCCGAATATCTCCTTCGGCTGTTCGCGGCGCCGGATCGCTGCAAGTTCGTCCGATCCGTGATGTCGATCATCGATGTGGTCGCTATCCTTCCGTACTACATCGGGCTGGGGATCACGGATAACGACGACGTGTCGGGCGCGTTCGTCACCCTGAGAGTGTTCAGAGTGTTCCGTATCTTCAAGTTCTCGCGGCACTCTCAGGGGCTGAGGATCCTCGGCTACACGCTCAAGTCGTGCGCCAGTGAGCTGGGATTCCTCGTGTTCTCGCTGGCGATGGCGATCATCATCTTCGCGACCGTCATGTTCTACGCGGAGAAGAACGAACAGGACACCAACTTCACATCCATTCCCGCCGCCTTCTGGTACACCATCGTGACGATGACCACTCTCGGGTAAGTGGCTGATTAATTGTCGAAAATTGTTCGCTTGCGGCCAGCGCTGCCACCTGTCGACGCCATTAAAAATTGACGCGGGAAAATAACTGTCATGGCGGCGGTGATTTCCCTCCATAAAAGGTTTAGGGGCTGAAATATTGATGTTGGCTGGTGTTTTAATTCGTTTCATTTGGGTAATGGGGCTGTAGATGGCTGGCCAGCGGTTTAGAGCAAAATGTTTTGTGTCCGGGTCTCGTCAGAGAGCTACAAAATGTTTTCATTCTATTGTTAAAATGGGCGGCCGTTAAACCAATATGGCCTTCGTTAATAATGACAGATATTTTATTCCCAAGTAATTGATATACAGAAATGGTTTTTACAACGTATATAAAACGTAATTAAGCAGTTTTCACAATGTAATAATACGTATTTTGGAGGTTTTCACGTCCCCACCCATGCGATGCTGGAATATAATTTATCGTGTTTTCTTATGAAAGGAAATGTTTTGTATTGAGTTGTGTGTTCGACAATGATTTGGTTACGGATTTGGCACTTAAAAATGTTATTTCTTAATTCAGTGTGTAAGAAAATCACAGCCCTTTTAAATTAAGTTGTATCAAGAGATAACGAGAATATTAATGTGTAAAAGGGTCAATTGAACGTTTTTGTGTAGACTACACTGTAGAGAATAAGTTGAAACGTCAATTCATTGCTTCGTTACCTGCCAATTGAAGAAATTACCCTCATAGTTATAGAGCGTAGGTAATAATCTAGCTATTATACGATTTCACTCTGTAATAAACAGGTTGTCCTATCGATTTTCTGTCAGACCAGCGTTTGCATCGTCCACGAACTCGGTAACTTCGAGTACCTACCTAACATGCAAACATTTCAGAACTTCAATACAAAGTAGAGCTTACACAAGCGTCAACCTGAGCTTTCGGAGCTGTGGGAAAAGTTACTGCAAGCTTCCGAATGAATCTTTGATTGGCAGCACCAGATATTGGTTACTAACTTTATAGTATCGACAAGGCATGTATTGTCTTCTTCTTCTACAAACCTATACAGTGTCAGCCCAAAACTCCGCTACAAGAGTGGCGTTGTCAGTAGCATTTAAATCTTCCTGCGTGCAGTTGTTTGGACACGCAGGGCACAACATCATTATTAAGTATGCTTCACATCGATGTCGACAAGGGATGTCAAGCTGTACACTGTGGTGTCTTATGCTGTTATATTAAGAGCGATTTGGTAATGATAATGTATAGTTTTATGTGCTGGCACTAGGGCTTGCAATATCGGATAGTTTTCAACTCCGGAACTGATTTCCGATATTGGGCACTCAACTCCGGAATTCCGGTTCTAGTTCCGGAGTTGGTTAAAAAAAGAAAGCGCTTCCCGACAAACACGTATACGTATGTGGCCTCCACTTTAGAACCTTGCCCCATCGGCCGTCTGTTCTACGTACTATGTGCCCTGCCCATTGCCACTTTAGCTTGGTAATCCGATCGCTATATGTCAGGCAACTTTAGTTCGTTTACGAATCTCCTCATTTCTGGTTCGATCTCGAAAAGAAACACCGAGCATAGCACTCTCCATACCATGGTGTCCATGGTGTGCAACTTTGAGCTTATTATAAGGCCTTATAGTAAGAGGCCACATTTCCGAACCGTGTGTCATCACTACTGGTAACACACACTGATTGTAGACTTTCGTCTTTAGGCACTGAAGTGTTTTGGTCGAAAAGATGTTATGTAGTTTCACGAACGCTGCCCAGCCGAGTTGAATTCGACATAATATTACATCTCCCTGCCTCACAGCTCGCTGCAGAGGAATCGTAGAGGAATCGCCCTCGTGTTCAGCCAGGCTCAAAGACCTTCTCATAGTCTAAGAACGCCAAGCATATAGGCAAGTTAGACTCTTCGGTTTTCTGTATAACCTGCCGTAGCGTATAGATGCGGTATATGGTAGTGTAAACGTTTCGATAACTGGCTTCCTCGAGAGACTATAAGTCATCGAACCTACGCGCGAGACTATTCGTGATGGCTCTCAAAAACAGCTTGTAGACATGACTCAGAGTCAGAACCCAGATGGGTCTGTAATTATCCTTTCTCCTTAATAAGGCTTTTACCCCTTTCTTAAAGAAAAACACCATCAAGCATTTTTTCCGTGCCTCTGGCATTATTCCCTTCTTGTTGCCATGAGCCGTTGGACAGCAAGGAGCCTTTTGGCGTTTTCTCCAGGAAGGGCGTCAAACCACACAGGGGCTCCATAAAGGGCCATGGAGCGGACGACGCCCATATATAGCTTCCGGCGCCATATATAGCTTCCGGCTCTGGCATTATTCCCTAGAGTAAGACGGAGTTACAGTCTATGAAGGACTTTCAGTATCGGCTTATCACCTGCCGCGTTCAGAAGCTCCGAGGTTATTCCGTCATCACCCGGTGCCTTCTTGTTCTTTAGCTGTTTGAGAGCCATCCTAATCACGTAAGGGCTGATGTCCGGCTAATCTTCGGTATAGTGTCGAGTTAGCTTAGCTGTTGGAACTGTCCTGTGGCTGAGCTATTAACAGGTTTTACTCTATCATCCGCTCTCTTCAGCTGGCTTCGCCCATTAGAGTTGTCTCTATCGAACATTTTGGAGCTTTGGTTTCGCCCTATTGCCTCTTTAATATTATTACTAATAAAGTTGCGAATACATATCTCAAGGACTTTCTTATCTAAGAACCTATTTTGATACTTAAACGTTTTGAAAACTTAAAATAATTTATGAAAAATTTCAATATCGGAATACGATATTGGCTTCAGTTCCGGAATTGAAATATCGGAAAAAATGTATCCGAAATTCCGGAGTTACGAAATTCCGGAATTCCGGTATTCAAGCCCTAGCTGGCACTTGTGTTGTGTTATTACTATTGTCTGTGGCAAATTAGCATACTCGTAGATTAGATATTTCGATACCCATCCAATTTAGCAGTCATGGATGATTAACCGTCACATATTCTACTGGTATCATTCATACCGTATAAATCATGTGTAAAAGTTATTCAATATTTTTTTTATAGAGTAAGTATTTATCACATATATCTACCGAAATAAGTTTACTGGACGCATCTCTCTGCAGTTCAGTTCACCCAGAGAGGAGTGTTTTTTAACGAACCCAACCGAAACAAACCTCGACTGGACCACACTTCATTTGGTGGATTAAAATATTACACTGAATTCTATTTACAAACTAATGTGTGCTTGTATTAGCAAAGTTAGAAGCTAAAGCATTATTTCAAATCGAGATCATAACTATCTGAAACATAACCTGAGCAAAAAAGGGGATTTTTGAAAGTCTAATGCCCGTTTTCACCATGAATCCAACAAAAACCAAATTCCTGTTATATGTTACCATAGAGGTAACTTAAAAATTAGGGATTGATGGTGAAAATGGGCATCATTCCAAAAAATAAACAACTACTTAACATTTAATTACATTAAAAATCCAGTAGCACCAAAATGCGTCATATAAAATCACCCTAACAAACCTCGACATGCCTAAAACTTACATTCCTCACGTTAAGAACTTTACCACATACAACCATAAATTATTATGTACGTGGAAAAATAACTTTGTTCCAACTTTGTTTCTTGCTCGTGTAACATTAATTCGGGTTGTGGCCGGCGAAGTTGCTAATTCAACGCTTTTTGCTTTCACATTGTAAGTTTGTGTTGGTGTTACAGGTTTACTTGGCTTGTAAAAGGTATTTTGATTTTAGGGTTGGTATAAAAACATTGTGTTAGTCTTTCCCATGAATTTGCTGGTTGACTACAAGGTATTTTAGTTTTAAAGTTGTCTCATACATATTCGTAACAGTAGACTCGGAGCATTGATTGTGAATGAAGTTTGTTGATTTTGGTAAAACAGTGACATCATTTTAGGTCGTATTTCTTTATTAAGTAGGTAGGTTCTTCTTCTTCTCGGTCGGTAAGTATACACTCTTGCCAGAGTGGTCGTAGTCATCATTGTGAATCACGATGAGTGATGTTCCTCGCAATACGGTGCCATTCCTCGCGGACTGCAGCTTTCCGGGCATTTTCGCTAACCGAACACTTAGTTGCGCCCTTGATCTGGTCCGTCCCTCTCATTGGTGATCAACCGCGTGGTCTGGTGCCCTCACCTTTTTCCTGCACTACGAGACGCTCTATGGAAGTCTTAAGTAGGTTACGTATAAAAATCTTCTTCTTTAATCAAGGTGAGATGATTCAAAAGTATCAAAATAAATTAAAAGATACAAGTAGACATAAGTAATATACGAGTTAATATGAACATAACGACGTCTGTGTATCAAGCTACAGATCGTTTCATCCACGAAGACGCGCCCCACCAATATTTGATCGAGGGAAGCGCAGGGTGCGGGGAGTTTGATCCGAGCAATCCGAGCGTCATTATTGTAGTCTGCGTGTGCACTCATGGATAATTTAGCGACCGATAACACTCAAACATTAACGGAGGAATGGTGGGGCGCGTCTTCGTGGATGAAACGATCTAAATAAACACTGTAGTATTTCTGTTTTAAGAATGATTTTTCAACCAAATATAATAATCTTTTGTGCTGTCGTCTCTACACTACGTTACCTTCCAAAACTTTCAATCTCATTACCAATTCGACCTTACTAAACACCAACTAGTATACAGAATACCATAAACAAACTCATTTCAGTTTGCAGAGCTTTAAGCTCACGGGCATGTAGAGTTAACTTAATTACATGGAGCTTACCGCCCGCCCCCGGCCGCCACTTAAGCTCGGCCTAACTTACTATACGTGTGGATTGGCTGCAGTTTACTAGCGATGTAACGCGGCTTTGCTTGTGATCGGATTCGTAATGGAATTCGATAGAATGAATCATGAATCGCGATCATAGGACATACATTTTGGTAGTACCTATTTACGATTATATTGAACTATCGGGACTATTCCCACCTCTCGTTCCCACCACTGCAACTCCTGTGTAGCTAGGATCTATCGCTTGACC